CATCGATTCCATTTTGCGCGGAGAGCGGAGCTCTCATCGCCTGTCAACAAGCTTCGTGCAGTGCAGTCAGCACACCGACACTGGCAGTTTGAATCGTCGCCCGAAAACGAGTTGTAAGTGCGGCTTCGATCGGTCGTTATGTCTGTCAATAATTGTCGAGTGTATATGAGTTTCAGAGTTTGAATTTCATGAGGTCTCTGCCAGTGCGTGTCGGAGCTAGGTTCAGGTTGTCAACAGTCATTGATCTTCGGGTTGTGCAAGTGTGCAATGCTGGAAGCTGCCACTTCCCTTCTCAATGCCAACATATGCCCCACTGCTTGATTCTGCAGCCTTTGGCTTGGTCCAGGCTAGGTGAGAGTCCTTGCGCACTCATATCCAAGAAGCAATGGAAAACGAAGCCTACGGTCCCCGATGCCCACGCAGCGCTTTCAGGCCTTGGGGCAGGTTTCAAGAGCCGTCTCATGTTTCCAGGTCTGGCGAGCAATCCACAAGCCCAAGCTGCTCCGAGCCGAGGTACGATGTTCTCTTCTGCTGGCTCACCAGCACGATGCGGAGAGCCAAAGGGCCTCTGGGACGAACCAATTTACTAATCATTGCTTTGCACATGGACCAGCAACAAGCCGAGGAGAGTGGTGCAGACTACGGATCTGTGCTCCCCGCCAGACGCAGATTTGATTGCTGCCGGATTGATTTAACTCCACGCTATGCCTTGGTACGGCGGTTGCACGGAACTGCAGATCGGGCCTTGTCATCCCAGGCAGAGATGCTGCCTGACCACGTGCTGATGGTGAGAGACGTACTGCGACGTGAGAGGTGCTCACTACTGCAGGCTGGAGTAGCTATGCTGGTCTACTCCATTTGTCAAACCGGACTGCCAATCTGCATGCTGATGGTCATCCGCTGTGTGGAGACTGATGACACTGGTGAGCTCCAGTGGCTGAGTGAATGGACGACTTTAGACTCCATGGTCTACTGGATACTGGCATACGCTGTCTTCCAAGCGGGCGCGGCAGTTGCCAACCACTGGCAGCTTCATGCTGCGTTTCATGTGGGCCAACGTGTGCGTGCGCAGCTGATCATGCTTGTTTTCCAGTTTCTTGACTGCAGACGATGCGACACCGTACATGGCATATGCAGAAAAACCAACAGTAGCAGTGGACATTCGTGTGTTGGTGATCCGACCTAGCCCAGGAAGGCTCTCCGAGTGGATCCTCAGAGAAGGCGGGCCGGGATGTGTGAGCGGCTGCAGAGAAAGGTGCTACAAGCAATGGCTCAGGAGTTTCTGCGTGCTCCGCAAGAGGACAGACTGCTGGCCTGTAAGCTGATGCTTTGGCAGGCCATCTGTTGGTCACACATTGACTTTGATGGCATCTGACGCACAGAGCCCTGAGAGCGCACAGTTTCGTTGCTTTCCAGTCGCCGTGCTTTTGCTCCGTTCCTGACTTGCAGCTTGCATATGGATCTAGAATCTCGGGTGCTCAGGAAATTCTTGGAGGCCATGCCTTTCATCCACAAGCTCTGGGGATCACCGCGAAGCCCTTAGCACATATCTGTCATGTTCAGCAGTTAGCTGGTCATTGCATCATGTTCTCGCAAGAAGACGATTGGGTGTTCTACTCTTCCCAAAGTGGCAAACTCAATCCCATTGCTGCTTTAACTTTAGCTATCCTGCTGCCATCCATCCGGTCCAGTCGTTCCTGCGGGCGGGGACACGGCTACCAGATGCGCTAGGGAATCAGCCATTGCAAATTCCTCCTGTTATACACCGACGGGTCTACTTACTCTGTGTAGCACAAGCTGGCGCCGATGAGGCCCTCTCAATCTGTCACATTGTGGCTAAGGCTTCAGATCGTTCTGGCCAGCGCTATTCTCGTGTCCACGATCTCAGCCAGCGCGCTGTGCGGCATTCTGGTTCTCATCGCCGTGGTTCCTATCTCCAAGAACCTAGGTAAACTCCTGCAGAGGCTTGTCGAAGGGGGGGTCTCTTCCGGGCCGGAAAAAAGTTATGCATGAAATGTTTGCTCTTCGGCAGGTCTCGGCAGCGGCATCTTCAGTTCACGGATCAGAGAGTCCGGATGTGCGTCGAGCTTCTGGAAGGGATACGTTGCATCAAGTTCTTCGCTTGGGAAAGGCCTTACCTGGAACGTGTCTTTCAGAAGCGCCAACAGGAGCTGTATTGGGCCATGCGAGAGTCGTTGGTATACGGCGTGTCCATGCTGGTAACAGTCTTGGCGCCGACATTAGCCTTCGCAACCACGCTTGTGGCTTTTGCCCTACTGGGCGAGGGCTCGTTTTCTGCTACCCGCCTTTTTGGCACGCTGGCACTGCTAAACGCGCTGCGATTTCCAATCATGGACTTGGGTTCCATGCTCGCGTCGATTGTGGCTCTCCACACGGGCTGGCAGCGCATCCAGCACTTTCTGGACCTCGCCGAGGCTGGCATTCCGGTGGCCAGGCTCGAAGACGATGTGGAGTTGAAGATGGAGAGATGTAGGTTTTCCTGCAACGTTGACGGGGAGGAATGCTTTCAGCTGTCTCTCGACGCGACACTGACACTGAAGCGTGGTGATCTTTGTCTGGTTCTAGGCAAAGTTGGCAGTGGCAAATCCACCTTGCTTCAAGGCCTGCATAACATGGTGTCAAACAGTGCTTGTTGTCTGCATCCTTTATAGGACTAGGTTGAAGCTAAGACTTAGTCTTGCTATGCGAGCTTCGATGTGTGCTTGGCAGGAATCCTGGGCGAACATCGCTGTTCGTCGGGTCTGTTGTCCGTGAGCAATGGTGTTGCTTACTGCGCCCAGCAGCCATGGATTCGCAACGAGACCCTGATGGACAATATTCTCTTTGGGGAGGAGCTGGACTCGGAATGGTACGACACGGTTCTTGCCGCCTGTGGGCTGGGTCCAGACTTGAAGCAGCTGCCATACGGAGACCAGACTGAAATCGGAGAGAGGGGTGTGACCATCAGTGGTGGTCAAAAGCAGCGAGTCGCACTGGCTCGTGCTGTCTATCAGCGCAAATGCTCGATGGTAATTCTGGATGATGTTTTTTCAGCTCTGGATGCACACACATCAAGCCACATCATCAAGGCTCTTTTCCATGGACAGAAGGGGCTCCTGCGGGATCGTGCAGTTCTTTTGGCATCGCATCAAACAGCCTGCGCTTTGCAAGCCCAGCGAGTTCTGCTGCTAGGCCTGGCGGGTGTGAAGGGCTCAAGTATGAAGGCTAATGTTGAGAATGGTATTTTTCTGCCACATCCAGACTTCATAAATCCAAGAATCCAGAATTTTCACTGGGGTCTGTCTCCCACGCTTTTCTAGTACGCAAACGTACAGAGAGCCAGCCACCAAGGGCAGGCATTCACAGCCATGCTCTTGTGCAGTGCAGTACTGAGGAAGCACCGTGCCATACACCCTTTGTGAGTGTCTCATTTCCCAGGGTTCTTTCCCGATGTTGGCAGCAGGCCAGAAGGATGCCTCTATACCGCACTCCTCGCTTCTCTTTGAGGGAGATTGGCTGGATCTCTGCAAACAGCCACACCTACTGTCACTGCTTGGCCATGCCACTCGGCCATGTTTGGACAGCTGTGGATCTGTACGACAGATGCATCAAAAATTTCTGGAGCAAACCCGTCTATTGGGCCGGACCCCATCAGAGGTTGAGATCTGAAATCTCTCCTGAGCTCTAGTACTTCCTTTGCTCCAGCAATGCGTGCATGAGTGGGGTGCATGTAACATTAGGAGCAACAACAGGCCTGGAAGCAGGCGAGTGGCTTGTATGTGCCTTGCAGTGCCTTGTTTTTTTCAGCTTGGCTGGTGCCGGCTGGCTTTTCTGAGGTTCCCTCCTCGGATGATACGGTGACCAAGGAGGACAAGCAATCACAGGAGGAGGAAGAGAATGAGGATGCGGAGGAGAAACTCAAAGCTCTGCCTCTGAGCTTGTCAGAGCCATCAGCAGCACAAACCTGGAGTCATCTGAATGCAGGAGGCGCAACACAGGTCCTCAGCAGCGCTGGTCACAACTCAGACTCCGATGCCGAAGAGCGTCTTGCTTGCCGGTGATTGGCTTTGCGTATGAGCTAAGCTATTGCATCACCGCTGAGGCATGATGAGATCAGAGGAGCACACTGACAGGATATCCTGGCGTTCTGTCAAGGCTTACTGCCGCTGCTGTGGAGGCGAAAGTGTAGGTGCCACTTGCAGAGAGCCTGCAGTCTGCACTTCGATTCCTGCATCCAGGCTTCCCTTGGGTTGCCGCCTTCTTCGCCAGCTCTGTTCTCGAGCGGATTGCGCTGATCTTCCTGGATTGGTGGCTCGCCAGGTGGGCTGAAGAGGCAGGCCGATGTCGGCCTGAACCGATGCTACATGATGCTACACACCTAAGACATGCTTTCCACCGTTTGGGTGCACCAGGACTCTGCAGATGAGAGGTCCATGTACTTTGCAGTGTACTTTGCCACGGTGCTGCTGGTGATTGCTCTCGTGTCCTTCGGGCGACACTTGTCTTCTAAGTGTGTTGAATCTGGCTCATGGGCACCTCCAGTGTTTTATGAGAGTTTTCGGGTCTAGGTTTGTTTGGGGGTTCTTGAACTTTAGGGCACTGTTGATACTTGTGGCACTCCGGTGAGGTCTCGTGTTCGCCGTGGCAACGGTTAACGCAGGGCGCCGCCTCTCAGCTTCAACTTTTCAGAAGCTCGAGATGTCTCTGAGAGCTCGAACCTTCGTAGCCTCAGGACTCTTTAAGCAGCTAGCTTTGAGCGTGCTTCGGGCGCCCATGTGGTGGTCGCAGCCTGAGACACCGCCAGTGTAGCTTGAGCTGTAGCAAGGTACTTGTAAGTTAAAACATCAGTTGAATCACATTGGGTTCAGGCAGTTCTGGCTTGTTCGAATGGTGCTCGCCTAACGGCCTAGCTCTGTTGGTGCTACTTTGGCGAATGATCCGCTTCGGAACACCAAAGTACCATCATGGTTTGTGATTGCCGACTGGCCGCTTTCAGTCGTAGCTTCTGACGTGCCTGCCGCTGGCAGCACTCATTCGCATTAGAGAAGCATCATCGAGGTGGGATACAACCCCTCTGGGGAGGGTCCTGAATCGCTTCAGCCAAGCGCTCAGTACACAACTTGCCAGTGTCCAGACAGAATGCCGAAGATGTGAAAAGCCGTTGCAGGTTTCGACACGGAGAACACGGACACCACTCTAGTCACCAAGCTCTTCCCGGCTCTACAGTCCATGAGCTGGTGCTGGCCTTACTTATGCCATACTATACCATGCTGTACCTCATTGCCAGTTGTCTTAATTGTCTTATATTTGCCAAGCCCCTTGGTCTCCAGCTGGAGTTACCCTTTCCTTCACTCCTTTGTCTTGTTTCACCTGTTTCGATAGTTGAATTGTCGAGGGAACGAGCAAATGCAGCAGGACGGGTCTGACCTACCAGTACCTACCCCTTTTCCTCAAGCCTACGAGAGACACAGAGAGATCCTTTGCCATTTTGGCTCAAGCCGTGAGTGCTCAAGGTGCCGCCCCTTGTCTATGCACCTCAACCCGGCGCGCTGAGTGTTACCTCGCTCTGTGAAAGCCTGCCGCGGGGAGGGAGCGACGTTGCTGCCGTACGAGCCACCTACAAGCTTGCAGCACTACGCGTCTGCCCCCCCCCGCCAACGGCAGCCAGTGCGACCTGCTCTTAGGCCTAGGGTTTTTGAGCCTGACAGGTTGGTGGAGGTTCTTAACAAGTTGGGCTGCAAGCTACGTAGTGCCTCCTGCGTTGAGACTCCGCATGGTCTCCTTAACTTAGCCTGGACGCAGCTCGCACCGGTTGGGAGAGCTCTCAGGCAGCTCGAACCTCGAGCTTATTACAGTAGAACGTGGTCCGAACCGAAGCAGAATGGTGTTAACTGCTAATTCGGAGTTAACTCCAGGATTCCTCAAGGTGCCCCGAAAGCTGTTGGGGTGCACCTCTCAGGTCAGAGGGTTTAGCACACCACGGCAGCAAGAAAGGAAGCAAGCGAACACGCGAGCGAGAGAAACTTCAATATCGAATAGTGAAAAACGGAACCAGGCTTTCCTCCCTATGCCTGACTTTTTGATATCCTTCGCTACACTTTTCTCCCGTCGCCTGTTCGGTCATTGCTATCAATGTAGACCAGGACAAGTACAGAGTGACATTGTTAGAGCATCCATGGAGGAAAGCTCCAACCGTGCCTGAGGTGTTTGGGCGCCTTGGCCGTCATGGCGGGCACGCTCTGGCCGTACTCTCTATTGATTATCCCACTCCCAGCATCTGGCCAGCAACTACACACAAGCATCGTGAATTATGGATAAGGGAACCTGTCGGGTCGTTGCTGTTGCCGTTCAGGTGTTCATCTACACCATCCTGTTCCAATTCGCTCGAAAGTCCATCCGACAGTTCCAGCAACTGGACAGCGTCTCCCGCAGTCCGATCCAATCCCTCTACTCCGAGGCCTTACAAGGCATCGTCAGCGTCCGCGCCTTCGCCTCCGAGCTGCGCTACAAGGAGAAGCTGGCAAGCTTCGTGGACAGCAACTCGGCGGCGGTGCTCACTTTCAACACCTCGAGCCGCTGGCTTGGAGTGCGCGTGGAGCTCTTGGCTGCATTGACGTCCGGACTGGTCGGCTTGGGCTGCTGGCTTTTACGTCAAGAGATCACCGCCGGGCTGGTCGGCTTGTGTTTCATTTGGACCACAAATCTCTCGACGTCTCTGGGCTTCAACTGCATCTTCTCAAGCCAGGCAGAGGCTGTATTCACTTCCGTGGAGCGAATGGTCGAATACACGTCAGATGTTCCTTGCGAAGGGGCGCATCAGGGACTGGACAGCTGGCATGGAGCGACAGCTCCAGAAGGCGAAGAGCTGCGGCCCTTAGCCGCTTGCCAGACCGATTCTCCACTTCTGATCTTTGAGAATGTTGCGCTGCGCTACCAGCCAAAGTTGCCGTTGGCACTGGATTCGATTTCGTTCGAAGTAGCGGCAGCCCAGAGGTTTGCTGTTGTCGGGCGCACCGGCTCAGGCAAATCGACGTTAGCTGTGGCTTTGTTTCGGCTTTCGCCAGTAGAAGGGGGATCCATCCGCTTGAACGGAGTGGACCTTGGATCTCTGCCGCTCGACGTGGCGAGGAAGTCGATTGGCATCATCACGCAAGATCCTGTCATCTTCAGTGGGAATGTGCAATACAATCTGGATCCCTTCGGTGAGTTTGACAAGGCGGATTGCGCAGAAGCGCTCGTGCAAGCCCAACTGGCAGAAACAGTGGAACTGGAAACCCAGATAGAACAAGCTGGTTCGAACCTGCCCCTTGCATGAGTTTTATAGTGCTGCCATTTCAACATTCGCCATGTGCTATCATGTATTGCTTGTAGGTGCATTGTACTGCCGAGACGTGGTTTGACCCTTAGGTCCATTGGTGAACGCCAGCTTCTGTGCCTTGCGCGCGCTTTGCTTCGCAAGCCGCAGCTCCTTGTGTGCGACGAGGCGACGTCGTCCGTGGATGCGGCGACCGATGCCCAGGTCCAATCGTGCCTGCGAAAGGCAGCAGGCAATGGCACCGCCTTGCTCACTATCGCACACAGGTTAGTAACCTTGGCATGCACTAAGTGTTTGTGCCCTTTGTGTTAGTTTTAAGAGGCCTTTGTGCGAATTGAACTTCTTGAGGCGACCGTTGCAGACTATGACAAAGTCATGGTTTTACAAGCGGGCAAGCTATTGGAGCTGGGAAGTCCGGCAGCTCTGCTCGAGGATCCTGCCTCGGCCTTCTCTTTGTTGGTCGATTCTCTGGGTCATGAAGCCACGGCCGTGCGTAGCGCTGCCACAAGAGCAGCACGTCCGCGTCTTTCCCTGTGATCCACTGTCGTGGTTTCACCTTCGGCAGGGGACAAAGCGCCCCCGCCCACTCCGAAGCACTGGTGCAGAATCGGCACCACAGATTTTCGATCACGGGGGATGGGAAGCTGCTTGGGATTCCCCCTCCGGCCGGCCGACAGCAAAAGTTCCACAGGGTAAAAGCCACCACAAACTTGTCCCGTTGCCATCCGTCGCCTGGTCCCTGGGGCAACCTGCGCACCTATCTCAGCATGGCTCAAGGGTTCAAATTCGGAGCCACGTGCTGTATGCGACGTGCTGCCATGAGAGGCCCCGAATACCAGGATTTCTCGATGTGCACTGCAGGCTTTCAGCCATACCTGCAAGGCCTCATTCTTGCCGTGTGCTTGGCCTTTGGCGCGGGCAGCGGTGCATTGCCTCCGTGGTCTCGAGCTCAGCTCGCGACCTCCGCTTTGACGAACGGACTGAGCGACTGAGCCGCTGAGGTGGATCTTGAACAACGTAAAGCCGGAGGGTGAGCCACAAAGCATGGGAAGCTATACCGTCATTACCTTCTCGGAGGCTCTACCAAGCGATGTATCTTAAACTTGTGGTATCTTTGTTAATACAGGGTGGGGTCGCATTCGGAAGACTGCTGGGTCCCATGGCCCTCCGTGGCAGGCTCAGCAGGAGCGCTTTGCCATCGACTCCCACGGAGAGCCAACCGACAGTGCCCAGTTCAGAGCTGCGCTGAAAGCTCTCAAGGACCGCCGTGAGCATGTTGTGACGAATCTGCGAGCAAGATGCCATTCTGGAATGCTAGAAGAGGGCGGTGCGGGCTCAACGTGCAAGGAGGAAAGAATGCAGGGAAAGCAGAAGACGGATGCTGCCGAGGCAGTTGTCAACTCTGCCTCGAAGCCGGCTCGCCCCCGTAGTTCCTAGTCGCGTTCGCTTCTTGCCAGGCCGCACGGCCGACCGTGACGCCTCGATTGGTCATCTGAGCAGGGTTTTCTTCATGGTGTTAGTGGTTTGCGAAGTGGACTTCTACGGCGTTTCGACGGTGCAGAAGGCAAGATTGGGCTGGTCGGTGGGGTGTGAGCTTTTGACGGATGTGTTCCAAGTCAGGTTAGAGTGAAATCAACTGCCAAAGGAGGCGCCTAATTTGGAATCATGAATAGATGTGGAAAGGATTCTTGCTGCTTCGTGTTTTCTACGCTTTCAGGCCCTTCTTCGAGCTTTCAGCTGCAGGTTTCACAGCCTGCAGCGCAGTGTACAAAGAGACTTCACCAGGGCTTTGCTGCCAAGTGCGACGACAGAAGTTGGAATTGTCTTTCTCTGTGTAGGTGTGCTGTTTCGACCGATGTGGAGGAACAGGATTGGTCTCGACAGACGTTCAGTTGAATCGTGCAAAAGTTTGAGTCAGCCTGTTGGCACTGCACGTCTGTGCTGGCTGGTAGCCTGCGATCTGGGAATATCTGAGTGGCTGTTGGAGTTTGCTTTGAAGGAGTTTTGTGCAAGAGTGCCTGTCGAAGCTGCTTTGTCTCAGCGTGCTGTCCAGCGCATCCGCTTGGAGAGAAGAGGCCTTGGATTTTTTGGTACAAGAGTGGCAGAGGGATGGATGTTCCTGGGGATGCCTCGGTGGGTTAGTGTAAATAATGTGTTGGAGAAGCTGCTTTCGTAGGCCCTCACATCGCTAGTGAGACCAGAGAGAACTGATTCAGTCCGAGGGAGGGAGCAGCGGCCACGGAGAGCGCACGTTGGCGGCTTCTGTCCTGCAGGGCTAAAGCATGGCATCCGGAAGCGATGCAGGCCAGTTACTACAAGCCGGCAAGATTCAGTGTCCAGAGATTGCGTGGAAGTGCAGGCGGTGGTCGTTTGAGCTGTAGCGCGACAGACCGCAGAGGCCAGGGTTGACGGGTGGTTGCTGCCCCCCAGGCTTTGCTCTTCGGAGTGTGCAGCAATTTATCACGCGAATCAGTTGTCTTTCTGTGTGGCAGTTGTGTGGCACTGCAAGAGACGGCTGTCGCTCCACAGGACCACCAGTGGGCCTCGCCGTACGTGCCCTGGCAGATGAAAGTAGGGACCCTGCACCCCCCCCGAAACCTGAAGAAATGGCTTCTGCTCTCCCCTTGCCAGGAGCCCTGGATTGGCCACTCAGCAAAGACGAGAAGCGGCTTTGTGCCATGAAGCTCTTCCAGCAGGAGGTTGAGGCCAGCTGCAAAGCTGCATCACGCAGTTTATGACCTGTGCATCAAAGCGAGGCATCCGCAGATCAGTTGGATGAGCAGTCCGAGCAGATTGACGAGCTGCACGCGGAGATCAAGGCCTCACAGGAGGAGAAGACAATCCATGTCAGTCTCAACTCGTGACACCGTGACAGGTCTTGAGACGGCTCTCCACCTGTTCCACGGCCGCGGGCTCCGTGTCGCCGGCTTCGGGCGAGGCTGTCCCGGAGCTCCTCCTCACGTGCACTCATGTGCAAAAGGCACTGAACATGACAGCGCTCTGCCTTGCGAATCTCGACGTGCCAGGCACCTGATCACTGCGCTGAGGCCATGGTTCAGATCCTGGTTTCGTCCGGTTTCGGATCCGGGTTGTATGCCCAAGATGCCAGACCAGGTTTGGTGTGATTGTCCATGTCCAGGGCAGGCAAAGCTTATCAGAGCCACAGCCATGTCAGACACAAAAGGGGACCATGCGTGGACGCTGGTGTATTGCATTCTTCATCAACATTAAGCGTCGCTTGTTGAGGCCGAGCTGCGAGTACCAGGCCCTTGCGAGGACGAGAACTGCCAAAGTTGTTTGCTCATCGCTCATGATGATGCGACTATACTCGACAAGCTCCTGCAAGCAGCAAGCGTAGGTGGATCCCGACGTTGGGCCTTGCGCAGGAAACATTGCTCTCGGCAGTGCAAGCGTATGATGGCGCGAGCCAGAGGCAGCGGGCCGGGCAACGTGTCTGCCGGCTCCGGCCAAGCACAGCCATCCATCAGATGTCATCGAAATTCTCAATAGTGCAACATAGCACAAAGAAGGCGCAACTGCGATCCCTGAACACATGCATTCATGGGTGTCTCTCGTCAGAAACCACGCGCAACCAAATCGGTCGCCGCTGCTGGGTTGCAAGCAGAGACGCAGTTGGTGATGCAGCAAAGCAGGTTGTTGCAGCAAGCTGTTCACAGCGCGACGGCTCAGGGAGCAAATTGCCAAGTTCTACGGCGGCTGCGAAGATCACGCAGCAGACTTTTGGGGCTGCGTGGCTGACAAGGACTGGACCTGATAGAGTTACCTGACCACCCAGAATGCTTGCACACAAAGGAGAAGGCAATGCAAGGCTTTTGTTGTGTCAAGGACGACCTCACTCCGTTGGAGGCGGTTATGTGGCTTGCAAGGTCTTTACCTGCTCCGATCCTGGAGGGACGGTCAAGGCCCAGTCGCTGTGCAGGGACGCATTTTGGCGCTGCGGTAGAGACGAGTCGCAGGCACTGGCGAGCGACGCTCCTCCAAAGTGGCCACGGCCGTTCAGGCTTTGAGGAGCTTCGTGCACGGGCGTGGGCAGCAGACGAGGCAGCCGTGCGAGAGAGAGGATGTGAAGAGTGACTTTTGAATTCTTCCCGGTAGAACTGCAGCGGATCAGTCTTTAGGTCACGTTGTACTGGAAACTTGATCTTGGCAGACGGGACGGCTTGTGACATGTCGGAAGCTGTAGCTGGGGTTTGTGGCTTTTCAGGCGCAGACTCTTCGACTGGAGGCGGAACGCGAGCTTCGGCGAGCTTTCCGAGGCAGCACCACCTTTCAAAGTGGGGACGTTGCCGGGGCTCCATGCGCCCTACTGTAAGGTGAAGAGTTTATGGAAAGTCCGGGCGTTCCGGAAGCAATTGCTCCCTGGCCTGCCTGGCATTGGGTGCTGTGCGGCTATGGAAGCAGGTCCTCTTCCCGAAGCCCAGGTCGAGATTGCTCAAACTATTTCGGCTCCAAAAGGCGATCATCTTCCTGGAGCCACGCACATCGCTGCCTTGCTCATGTACGGCAACTCGGTTTGTGGATAAATGGCCTCCAGGCGAAGGTAGTTCTCTTCGGTTTTGTTGCCCTCTACCTCGGAAGCACCGTCTCTTGAAGGTACAGTAGGATTTGGGCGAAAACTTTGGCTTGAGCAGCCGACCAGTTTGTTTATCGTGTTTGCGCGTTTCGCCAGCTCGTGGATTGTATCCACTTGCCTGGTTTCGTCTTGCATGTCATGTGATGCGGCATCAGAGGTGGCACAGACATAGTGCAAGTGTTTAATCAGTTCAAGCAGCATCCGCTGAAATGGCTGACGAAAGGGCCACTTAGCTGCTGGGAAGTGATTCTGGCCAATTACCTCGTAATCAACTGTAAGGCCTCCTTCCCGGCGCCACGTTGGAGGAGGCTCAGGCAGATGCGTTCTGGTGTTTTTTCCAGCCTCTTGGCTGCCTTGGTGCTGCCCGAGTCGGCGGGGTGTCGGCTTGTTGAACCTGCTTGGTGACATCTCCGCAAGCGTGGAGCTAGAAAGTGGTTGTCCCCGAAGCGACAGACTGCTACAGCAAGACTCAGTTTTTTCCTTTGCCCAGGTTGCAGACGAAGAAAGCCACCTCGTCGACAGACCGCAGAGCCAAACGCCTGCAGGATGCGTCCCGTGAACTTGCCTTTCGTCTTGCAGAGCCACCGATTTAGGAAAGCACACTGCCGCAGATCCTGGTGAAGTCGCGAGCTGCTGTGACCTGTGCAGTCGGAGTGTCGGAGCACTGTTTCCTTGGAGGAGCTGCTCCGCACCTTCGATGAACCGCTTTGTGAGGTCCTGCGCCCTGGCGGCAGAGACCGAACTCTTCACATCATGGCACTTCCAGTATTTACCAAATCAGGTTCGTACTAGTATTTGTCGTACTCGTATGTATTCGTGCATAATTACCAGACACTTTCCATTCAAAATGAGGGTTGAGATCAAGTGCACTGAATTTAGAGACTTTCGAAGCAGGGTTTGGGATTGGAAACACAAGAAGAGACGAGACGAGACTTGACAAACGCTGCGAGAATGCTGGAAGACGTTCGAGTATTGTGGAGTAGTACTGAGTAGTAGCCATGTGTCCGCTGTTTGAGGCCCCTCTCCAGATAAGAGCGACCCGGCCACTCTCGGGCTCCAGCGCAGAGCTTTGAAGCTCCCTCACGCTTCTTCTAGTCACTCTCGTCGTCGATGTCCCTGCAATTGTATGGTAGTTTCGGCCGTGAGAAGAGAAAGAAACAGAAGCAGGATCACTGGTATCGGCTTCCTCTCGCATGTCCTTTCATCATCTTTCATCCTCCCGGCGGAAAGCAGGTACTCATCCTTGTTACTGCCTGTTGATGTGGGTCCTCAAACATGGGAGGTCATTTGTTTGTTGCTTTCCCTGCGAGAATTTCGGACTTTTCAGGACACGGCAGGGCCTCATCTTTGTGGCTGCACGCTTGGGCGAGGCACAGTGCCATGGCACAGGTTCAGCTTCGGGCTGTCACGACGGCGGGAGATTGTCTCGAGCATGGAGAGCACAGGGGCATGTCGTTACATTTGTTGGCACGCCATGAGCAGTGTTCGAAGTAAAGGGTGTTTGGGTTTGGGGTCTGTGTCGTCATAATGAAAGCCATCCCAGACCGCCGCCGCAAGCTGCGCAATTTTCCAGCGCCGTTCAGTGGCTCATTGCATTATACCTTCTCACAATGGGAGGCGCAGTTCGCATCGGGCGGCTTCGCGGCAGAGAATTGTGCGCAGCTGTGGGTGCCTTCGATGGCTTTGGAGTTTGGGACAGTTTTTGGTTTCGCCTTTCTTAAGGTGGGGATGCCCCCAAGGGACACTTGTAGCTGGTAGCAAGCACGGAACAACCCTGATCTTCAGCGAGGCAGCGGCAGACAACGCATGTAGCCGTGCAGTGCCAGCCACGGGATTGTGGAAGCAACAATCCATCCCTTTTCAATTGAAAAGAGCCAGACCTTGACCCCTTAGTTACCCCGCATTGCCCAATCCGCAGCCCTAGCCTTGTCCTATGCAACCGCTCCTGATAAAGTGCGGAGCAGGGCTGCCAACATTTTAGGTGCATATGCATATTTAAACGTATATGCAGTAACACGCGGCGTGTGTTCTTGTGTGAGGAGCTGCATTTGCTTCGGAAGTGACCGAAATTGCAGAAACATCGGCTTGCAATTCATAGACCCCTGGAAGTCTGGAAGCATCGGAATTTGCTCGCGGATCTCTAGCATGCACAGGACGCCATGCTCAACGATGCAGAGCGCTTCGCATTTAGTGACTTGGCTCATGAATCGCGCCTCATCAACTGACACGGTTTGGGCAAAGTTGCTATTGGCGAGCTGAGGTGATTGGCTGCTCTGCGCACTGATACTGCTGAAGCGCTTCCAGCTTTTGCGCATCTCTGATGATGCCGCGCAGCTGGCGGAGGTCCATGAAGCCACTCAGAAGCCGTCTTTCCGTTTCTGTCACGTTTCACTTGCACCCGCAGGCCTTGCAGAATTTGCCCCGCATCGTACCAGTGGAGCGCACACTTCGCCTTGCCGCGGCGCTGCGCGCTGCAGCGCGACGGCGGCAACGAAGAGAGACGAAGGCCCAGGGCCTGACAACCAGGGTGAAGTCCGAAGGCAACATTCTTTAGGCGTTGCTCAGAGACAGACAGGCGAGCCGAGCAGGAGGACGTGTTCACTCACCTCCGCCGGGATCTCAGAAGCAGTTGGTCCTGTGATGGTGCCACAGTGCCCACTTAGCCACTTAGCCAAGGGAGGAGGATGCCCCGGGGCCCTTGCAGATCCTCGGCTCCTTCTTCGGCCCGAACCTCGAGACATGGAATTCTGAAAGTCTGAGATCCTTTGAGAGTAGTATGACCCCATGAGAAGAATCCCCGAGCTCTTTCATCGCATCTTGCAAGTGCTTCAGGCCGCGCCAAGGAGAAGGGGGTTGAGGCCACTAGCTCCGCGACTGTGAGGCTGTGGGGCAGAGCTGCCGGCAAGAACGCCTGAGCCTGAGGCCTTCGAGGTGACTCGGAGCGTGGCCCGCTGCGCATGGCGGCCCGAGCGGTGCTGCCGTGTGACTTGCCTGCAGAAGTGTGTCAGCTTGCTGTTTCTGGCTCCCGACAGCCGTAAATTGAGGCCACTGTAGAGCCTCTCGAAAAATGCCACGAGGAGGCGTGAAGCAGCTGTGAGCCGCTGAACAATGAGCACGTTACCGATTCGGCCATGCAGCCGTTTGTACTCATGGCCGGTCATGGCTGGCAGTGAGTTCTTATCTCTAAACTTTTTTGTGCCAGGAGATGCAGCCTCTGCGGCGGCGCAACACGACAGACAGCTCAAAGACAGACTAGGAAGTGAGGTGCCGGGTTTTGGGCACCGTAAGCCGTAAGAAATGCAGACATTGTGGTTTATTATGCTCCGGGTGCAACATCGGGCGTAGCGGTTTGGATGCCAAGTCTAGGCGTTGATGCCAAATAGTTTTTTGGTCATGTCCACTCCGGCGATCTAATCTGGCCTTCCAGCAAAATTCTTTCTGCTGATCAGCTCGTACACTTGTGGAGGGAGCCAAGAGGAGTGGACATGAGTCTGTTGTTTAACCGCCTGTGACAAACGACAGAATCTGAATTCAGGGCTGCATCGTAGGAATTTGGGCAGGTTGACATCAAAGCGAAAATGGCGTAGGCCACAGGCCCTAACGTTGTCTTTTCAGCTGTGCCTTGTTCGCAGCGCTATGTTACAGCAGCGCATGCGACTGGCCAGCTCAGAGGCAGTACGTGCATGTATTGCGGTGCATGGAACACAATGCAAATGCCAATGCAAAGAAAAGAGTAGCAAAGGATTTTATGACTGTTGGAGAGACTGGTGGTGCAATGTGTGGCAGAGGCTGGTTTGAAGACCCGCACCCCTTGACCGCCCACACTCTGCCGATTGTGTCCCACTCTGGATGTTTCCATAAAGCGGTGCTGAGTCATGGTGTTTCCTTTCAGCTCTAGCTTCAGCACTCAAGCCACTTTGCAGCCATGCGTGGCACTAGCAGCTCGCTTGAGTCGAGGGGCTTTGACATATAGGCACTGCTGCATGGTTGCACATTTGGAATTACTTAGCAGCAGCTGTTGAGTGCTGTTGGTTTAATATGTTGCATCAATATGCTTCGTGAGACATCGTGAAACCAATCAGGATATGTGTCGCAGTGAAGCTTACGCCGGTTCGCGGTTCCCAAAGTATTTTGTGCGAGTGGAATGAGGTGGGCAGCGCAACGGTCTGCTGCAATTCTGTTTCTTGAGACCCTTTCGTCCTGAGTGCCACTGCGTGCCTGAGCTGTTTTGCAGGAACTGTTCCACCGTGCTGGTGAACGTACCTGTTGCAGTCATGCTTTATGTCGGGCTCATCTGAGGCCAGGGGCTGGGCTTGCATGGAACTTTACGTGCTTGATCGCTTGCTTGGTGCAGCGCTGGGATCAAGGCCATCGTAGACCGTCACATCCGTAAAGATGGGCACTGGCGGCCTGGTGGTGTTCCGCAGTGTTCGACGAGACGGGCAGAAAAGCGTCTTTGCTTGTATCTACTTCCAGTGTGACGGATACTATACGTCCCTGGGAGTTCGACTTGCCGAGTTTCTACAGAATTGCAAACTGGTCAATGGATTAGATGGCAAGCCGGCGAACGGAAGGACCATTTGCAATGGCTTTGGCTGCCTTGTCGCACAGTTCATTGCGGAATTCAAGACAGGAGCCGGTCACCTTTACCTCTTTCCAACGGACTGCAAGCTTGAAATGGAGTTCGTGTACGTCGTGGACCATGATGGCAATCAGCCTCATGAGCCGTTGTCGATTAAGACTTGGCATCATGCGAACACAGACCCAGACTCAGATACCCTCAAGTCCATGAGCCTTGCTGAGTTCCACGCGTTCAGCCTGCGAGGCGGCGACGACGACGACGACGAGGAAACCGGTGCGGAGTCCGCCGCTGCTGGCCCGAAAATCCCCAAAGTCGCTCGCACGACCGAACCAATGCAGACGAAAGCTCCGGCCAAAAGCTCAGGAGAACTGCCTACGATGAGCAGTGCTTTAGGTCAGCTTGACTAGGAAGATTGGAGTGTCGACGTGCAGCGACTGCACCGAATGTACAGCAAAGTGCATGCAAGATGCACTGATAGGTGCCATGTCGACACGTGGAGAGATTCCGCGAGAAACGGCTACTGCAGTTCCATTGCGCAGACCGTCTATAACCCACAAGGGCGGCCAGGTGCTCACGAAATTGCTCAGGCGCTTTCAGATGGCTTGCTCCGTGCACGGGCACTTCGTGGTGGGCTTGCCTTGCCTGTCTGTCTGGCATCACAAGGTCCTTGGTGCAGCCTTCCTCCAAACCGTTCAGTGAAGGGATAATGACGCCCAGGTCGAAGACTTCAGCGCGGACAGGAAGTCGTGCAGCGAGAGTGTGGGCCATACTGATACTGACTCCTCTGATCCCGAGACTTGCAAGACTATCCATGGCGTCGTGCATAGGGCGTTCGTGAGCCCAGGCGTATGTACCAACCGCTCATTACATGCCTTCGTTTTGAGCTGTGGAGCTGCTGGGTTGGCAACATACAGGCGGGCGATAATTAGGACAAGACCTTCCAAGGCCTCGCAACCAATCGAGAGGCTTTCGGGTCTGCCAGGGTAAAGTCTTGATTGCTCTGTTTGTGACCAAGGAAGCCAACGTCAGCTACACTAGCTGTGCACCGAGTGCTCTTCATCAGTCTGGCACGCCAAACGAAACGGAGGCCTCATTTGGGCAATACCACCAGCAAGCCAGGGACTGGATTCACATCTCAGCCGAGAGAAGCGGTGCTTGTATGGTTTTCCTGGAGTTGATTGATTTTCAGCATTTCGGAGCAGGCAGGCCTTTCTGCAACAGCTACATCGATTTCCAGAGTTGCTGAGCCGGGTGCCCCGGGGAGATACGGGCACGTGCTATTACCTCGCCAACTCTGGGCCGTGCGAGGTGGAGTGGATCCGAGCTGTTGATGGATCCACCCTTCAGCTGGATCAGGCTCACCCATTTGGTGCGATTGAAGCGTCTGCCCAAGAAACCGGCCTGCCTGGGCTCTGCCAGCCCGTGTTCAGCGTGTCCCCAAGCCACAAGTCGCAGACATTCGCAGACTTCGGGGGTTTCTTGAGAACGATGGCATCGCCAGGTGCCAAGGCGCACCGTCAGTCCTCAGGGCATTCAGGCCACAGGGCCAGCGAGGGCGACGCAGACACAGACCCGTGTGACTCACTCCTCCTACGCGCAGGATGCCGGAACGCCCCACCCCAAAGTGCTGGGCTACATTCTGACCCGTGGTGCAATTGGCCTGGCTCTGTCAATGCGAGTGCCTCGGACACGCCTCTCGAGAAGAATGCCGTGAGAAAATCCGGAGTCATGACCATACTGTTATGTGCTGCACTAGTACTCTGACATCATGCTGTTTTTGCGGCCGCGGCTTTGGCAGCAAGCCGCACGGGTGTGTCACCCTAAGGCACGAAGCCTTTGAACAGATTGCACTGGACAAGGACAGGAGAGCAAAGAACACCCCAAGAAGAGCCTGCGAGCATCACGCTTGTCCGGAGATTTCGAAGCCATATGATGCCTCGGGTTGCTAGAGTGGCATTCAGCCTTAGTGGCAATTGTGCGATGAGTGCGGGAGGAGGACGACCACGTGTATCTTCTCTGTGAGGACGATGCGATGCTGCTCGTTTAGAAGCGAGATAATCTGTGATCAGCACAGGATATCATAGATGACAGCATCGTGACTCCCATGAGACCAAGGTTCGCACCGAGCTTCACCGAGGAGTGGACACGGCTGTTGCATGCAACCAGCCTTCACGACCCACAGTGGGAGGCTCCTTCCTGCTGGCGATGTAGTAGTCATGTTCACGTGCACCCATTATGCAGCTTTCATTCTGCGATTGGCGATTGGCGTCGCGAAGGTGCTTCACGTTGGCTTCCATGCTGCTGGAGCCTTAACATGCTAAGACCAAGATGCAAGAGTCGTTACCCATGGCATGTGTGTGGCCAAGGCCTGCACCACCATCAGGACCCGCTTCCTCGATCATATCGTGGCAGCATCCCCGATAACCAGAAATCAAGACGACCGTTTAGAGATGACTGTAGGCATTGGGGAATATGCCATAGTAAGCATAGCGCATAGAGCATAGAGTCTTGAGGCACTGGGCGGTTTCAACATAAATCCAACCCAGCAAGCGGGGCACTGCCAGCTCCACTTGTCTCTGTGTCACGATTTGTCTTACTGTAGTCGTTCCGTGGAAGAAATACTGTGCGCATGTGGTGATGTACAGGAGCTGCGGAGGGGCTCCGGAGGCGCGCATGCTCAGAACCATCTGCGCCAGAAGCGCTCAGCCCTTGACCTCAACGAAGTAACTGAAAACAGCGCCATACCGCGTGTTGCAGCCATTCAGCCTCCCAGATACATGACACGAGCAGAGCCCATTATAAATTTCCGACCAGCTTTGCATGTTTTTGGCTTCTGAGCCAAAGATGCCATCCAAGCCTCTTGCAAGCTTCAGTGGGCATGCCCACCTTTTGAAAGCTTCACTGGATTCCTGGATCTCTCGCCGCGATGGGCGCTGCTTGCACCTCATGCGAGAGATGCAAGATCAAGGTCGGAGACCCCGTGCAGGACCGCTAGAACTGCCGTTCCGGAAGGATCGGAGCCCACTTCACAGCCTGGGGCATGTTCTGGTCGTCTGAAAGACCGTACCCCCTTGCATGTAGATTCATTGTGACTGTGAGCGCCGGAGGCTAGCAATGTACTGTAGATGCTTGCATTCCGAAGTCCAGGAGCTCAATACCTTCAAGCAGATTCTTGCCTTTCATTTTTGTCAGGTCTTTTCGGTGATGTCGATTGCCTGTCATGGAGCCTTGCAAGTGGGAGCCAACATGCGATGTCAATTTCTGAGAGCTTGACAAGGTTTTATAAAGACACGATGCTGGTCCAAGCGAGAAAGCACGGCAAGACCGGTGGCATTCAAGGCCATTAGTTCGGGAGTTTCGCTTTGAAAAGCCTCGGCCATGCGCTGTCGGTAGCTTGAGGGGACATGCGGCAACGCGAGGGGTGCAGACACCCGTAAAGTGCACTTTCGCCGGCGGCTGGGAGGTGCCTTCGAGGAGCTTGGAGGCGGCAACGATGGCCAGGTGGGAGCACACAAACCGAAGCAGCTTCTCAAGTTCAGTTCAGGGGGACCTCGTCCATAAGCCAAAATCGGCACGCGTAGCAAGACCGCTTGTCATCACAGCACAAGCTGCGCTTGAGTCTGCGAGAGGTCACAAGAGAAGAGCCGCTTGGTCCCAGCTTAGACTCTTAGATCACAGGCTACCAGGTAGCGAAGCTCTTACATGCGCGTCCAAGCTCGTCGCAGACTGTTTAGCCCGTTATCCCAGGATGGTGAAGTATCTCACGAAGAACGGCTACCCCGGCGATGCAAATGCCCTGTTTGACCTGGTGGCAGGGGTCCGAGCTGCATCCTTGCCAACGGAATTTCCCTTTATTGTTGTCGTAGTGCTCGGGGGATTCTAGCAGCATAGCAGCATAGTCTCTTGCACTTCTGATGGCGACGGTCTCTTCGACCTTCTGAAGCTTCGCAATCAACCTGCCAAGGATGTCGACAACGAAGGACTGATCACCAAAGCTGAGTTCGGACAGCCACTCGTATGCGCTCGAACGAAGCCTCTGCACCAGTTGAGCGAAATAGGCCGAAGAAAGCCCTACGAAACTTCAACGTTCCGAGGATGACGGAACTTGACTTCATCAAGAAAGGCCCGATGTCTGCCTGTCCTGGCGTGTTCTTCAGCGGGTTGGGAAAATACCTGCCTCCACGCGAAAACGAAGCAAACAAAGATATGTCTGGCATGTGTGGCTCCTATATCACGCCGTCGGGTCGCCATGGGGTTTCTAGAGTCCGGTGGGTGGCTGATGAGGAAATGCATCTGTTCAGATGGCTGCAGTGTTTGCATGCAGGTCCTGTGCGAGCCTTCAAGAACTTCTTGTGCAAGAAGTTCGGCAAAATCGAGGACGGATGTCAACATAGACCTTCAACCCACCCATTGACAGCAGTACTGTCCCGCAGAACGGAACAACAAGACCAACTGAACTGAGGCTCTGTAGGAATTCTAGTATCAGTTTTCTGGCTAGTGGTGCCTGACACTTTGCTGCAGCATGAAGCATCTGGTAGCTGTTCCAATCATTATCTGATACCTGCTTACATTCTGGTCGCAACCGCCGTTGGCATCGAGCTCCCGTTTGCACCGAAGTGTCGTTGTATGTTAATGCTTCTTCTTCTGGCCACATTGATCTGGCTCAGTTTGAGAACTCGCCAGTCCGCAGTGCCATGATTCTAGATACGTATTTCCTGTCCTACGGGCTTGTGATGACTCTAGATTCCCTTGTGCAGTTCCGGTACAATGTCTGCAATTGGAAATCGCGAAGCAGACAGGCACAGAGCTAAGACATGACGAAGCGAAGGAACAATGAAGAAAAGCTAGTCAAGAAGACGATAGGCGGAAGGCATCCGCATCCCAGACCTGCAGGAAGCCTTCAAGAAGTTGGACACCACTCACGACAAAGAGATTGACTCTAAAGAGTTCGCGCATTGGCTCAAGTTGAGCTTTCTCCGAGTGTCGGGTGCAGAGTGACCTCTTGCCGGAGCCGACAAGTCTCCGTCCAGAACCTCAACACGTTGCAGTGTTGGGTGTTAGTCTGGTTCGGACACATTCATGGCCATGAACGGAGACAGCGAGACGGACTGGGACAGACTTAGAGACAGGGAGGCAGGAACACAGAAAATAGCAAGGAGAGTATCCTGTTTCGTTTCCAGCGCAGCGATAAGCGACGTTCTTGCCGAAGTGATGACAGCGGTATTTCAGCGATAGCCAGGCCACTAATAACCCAAAATGGCCAGTATGAGGTCGCGAGCGTGGAGAATTTGGGCTACGAGGGCGATGCAGACATCATGTTTCAGTGCCCCGGCACTGAGCCACAGTCGTTGCGTTTCTTATGCCGTGCTCTCTACAATGGCATGTGCAGGCTCCTGGATGAAGACAAAGATGGAAAAGTCACCCTCGGGGAGCTCAAGAAGCTTCTGGGAAAGCTGAAGAAGGTGCAGGAGGCACTGCCTAAAACACTGAGACGAGGTTCAGCATCAGATCTAGGTGCAGCGGCACAAATGTATGCCCTGATGCCCAGTGGCTGTGAGGAGAATCCAAACGAAGGCGAGCACGAGCTGTCCACTCCCTCAAATGACAAGAAAGGCAAAAAAGCCAAAAAGCAAAAGTAGCTTCCGCTTTTTTTGGCGCGCGTGCAACACACGCGGCCAGCGTGTGCTTTTGGCACCGCATGTAAATTCCGTCTGAGGCCGGACTCCGGCTCTTGGAGCTTGGCCGTCGCAGAAGCGATGGCTGGCTCATTTTATTGCTGTTGCGGCTTTGACCGGGAAATTCCTGGACCTTGCACAGATGTTTACAGGCTGCTGGCTCTGTGTGCTCCTATGGATATGTACCCCTGACACCTTGACACCTCACGGGATGTCATGGCCTCGTATGAAGTCGACAGTGAACAGTACAGTGAAGCAACATTGAACGAACTGGTCAATCCAGCTGTTGTACGAGGGCAATCCCAAACATCTTTGTACTGAAGCACACCGCTCTGGTTCCCCGTCTTATCCGTCTCTCCCTGCATAAGCAGGTCCCTCTCTCCCTTCTCTCATCTTGTAGGGTGCAACAGAGGGGACGTGAGAGCTACTGCACACGGTGACAGCAGCCACCAACTTCTCAGCTGAACGAAGCAATCCGGCATATCGCAGTATAGAGCAAGTTTATGCACCATCGGCCCAGTGGAAGTTTCTGCGAGGGAGCTTCGTTGCACACTGTGGTCGCTGAGAACTGTGCATCACGAGCCGATGCTTGTAAATGTTTATATCTGAAGGAAGTGAGTCTGCCTACCAAAGTGATAAACCGGCACTTTCATGCCGTGCACTCTCTGACTTCCTTTGGTTCTCGAAGCCACAGCTGCCACTTGGGTCTTCGACCAATGCCGAAGTCGAAGCCGTGGCTGTGCGGGCCCCCACAATCTTCTGTCCAAGTTTATCTGGTCGCATGGACCTTCCGGCAACTCACCATTCGACTTGTTGCTTGCACTGAGCTCAGTGCAGAGGCGTCCCCGGTGTGTGCCAGTAAGTGCCAGTATCTCTTTAAGGCAGATGTGCTGAGCACTCGGAGCTGAAAATGGCAAGTGCGCACACCACTGTCGAAGCACGTGCTCTGGCCACACGGGGTGTTTCCCACGCATTCGTCACTCATACTACATGCACGACTGGTCCAGGCAGAGTGCCCCGTCGGCCGACCAGCTGAACTCTTCGGATGTGACTTGGTCGATATGTGGTGCAGACTGGTTCTCGCCGCTCACCTGCGTTGCGTCTGCCCTGTGGCAAGTTCAAGGCTACGGCCTGGCGCTACGGCCGGCTGGTGCCACGGACTTACGTGAGCCAACTTCTGCCTGCGAGCGGCCGGCGAGAGCCTTCACGACGGAGGGTGGGCGAAATGGTAGCAACCAACAGTCGTGTTGAAGCTTGGCTGGCATATCGTCCTTTGGCACGCATCTGCGCTGAGGCTAGAGCACTTTGTCGGCACCTCTTCCCCGTGAGCCTGCAGGCCGCGCGTACGCGTTGCGGGCCTTCGGCGCTGCTTGCACTGTGGCTACGTCTACTTGTTTCTGTTGGGTCAGAGCTAAGTTGCCTTCTCCAAGTGCAACATGCAGCGCAGCTGCCACATCGGTGCAGGTGGACACTGAGCTTTCACGGCTGTCCGGGGACCCTGCTCCCGGAAGTTCTTCACTGCACTCTTAAGACGATGTTCAAAACTTTGTACATTAGCGCGACTCCAGCCTGGGTATTGTGTCCCAGGTATCAGCACTTCGCCAAAGAGGTTGGCTCCGTGGAGGCCGAAGTGGAGCTCCAAACCATTCCAAACCTTTTCTGTTGGACCCGGAGTTTCCTTTTTTCCCTTCTAACGTTGTGTCATCGCGCAAGCCGTGCCAGTAAGCATTCAGCAGGATAGCAAACGAACATCTACGCCCGATTGAGGCTTGTGCTTCGATGCCATGCTTTCTTCTGTCTCAGCACTTGGACAGAGTGTCAGGGAATCCGGGAAGACAGAGTGCATGGCATTTATGATGGAGAGCCTTTCTTGTTAGGTTAATGTTCAGGCCATGGTTTTGCTTCTGGAAATCTTGTGCGCTGCTCTATGGAAGGAACCCGGGACGGTGAGAGCGTACGAAAGCTGGCTGTCGTACGTTCTGACATTTTCCCTTTGTCTCTCACTCCTCTCGCTCGCCTCTCTTTCACTCTGTCACTCCGCTCTTGATGCTTGTCATGAGTCGCAGGCAATAAGCCATCCACGGATCGTCACGGTCAGACTTGACGCTGCCAGCCATCTTCTTCAATTCCCGTTACCGCACTTGCGGCCGAACTTCAACCGCATCGCCTTGATTGCGAGTCGCCGTAGAAGGGCGCAGCCTTTCTTTGCAGTTCTCTGGCTGACGAGACGCGGCGCCCTTGTGCTTCTTCTTGTAGGTTCGAGCCCTGAGCCGCCGGCCGGCAGACTTTACCCCACTACGTGTCGAGGGCTCAGGTCACCAAACAAACTCCGAGTGCACTTGTTTTTTCCTTTCTGCTTGCTGTGCTGGTAAGGCCTATGCCCCGCGCTGTCCGCAAAACGAGGAAGAGGACTGTAGCATGGAGAAGTGATGTACATGGGTGTGACTCATGCATAGATGACAGATGGGCCATCTTGAGGCACGTCGTGTTTCCTGGCCGGGGCCTCTCATCGTGGCGCCTGGCTCCACCGCAGAGAACACAGATATCCAGGCCGTCGAATGCGGCCTTCTCTCTCTGCCTTTCTGCCTCTCTCTCCTCAGTGGTGTTTCGGGTACACAGAGCTGGGAAAATTTCTGCATGCTTCTTCTCCACGCAGGTTCTGAGCATCCACAACCATGCAAAGCAGTACAAGATGTAACTCTGCGGACGCTGGGAATGGCAGACCATGCTTCAGCCGTGTGCGAAAACTGGATGTTTTCCTTGCCGTCCCTATTCTTTGCAAGCATGCTTACGCATGCGTATGCAGCGTCTGCATGTTCCAGTACTACAAGTCAAATCACCTGCTGTACCGTGGCAGCAAACCAAAAACTTCTCGTTGAGGCCCAGTCCGCCCCGTCTGTCTCGGCTCACAGCAGAGATATTTGGCCCAGTCTGGTAGCTTCTGTTCCTTGCCTGCAGAAGTGGGATATTGGAGGGGACATCGTCGGACATTCTCCCACTCCGAAACTCAGCTCAGGACAGGCTCACATGCCGGTGGATAGTTTGGAGCTGGAGACATGCTCCTTCTCGGTGCAGGGCTCCACCTTCGAGGCAGGTGACGGCACAGCAGCGTGCAGCATCTGCAGCAGGGTCACCCCAGGTGCCAAAGCGGTATCACATAGATGAGCCCATGAGTCGCGAGCTCACGAGAGGGACTTCCGGATGCAAGTCCTGTCTCAGCATCTGCTGGTTGAGGTCACGGAGCTTATGGCATAGTCGTATCGGCTGAGGACAAGGAGACCAGAATTATGCATTTCATACTTGCGTCTGCAAATGCTGCAGCTGGCTTGGCCGGTTCGATGCGCGTTCTTTTATTTCATGCCCTTTTGGTCCAAGAGCTACTCCGTCCGCACCACTGGACCTGCAGGGTCTTTGCACAGGCCCATCTGAGAGTGAGAATGGGAGAGGAATGTCTGGTTCTTTGAAGCTTAAGAAAGCTTAGTAGTTGGAACCTCAGAGTCGCCGGGGTTTTGCAAATTCGAGCATTTGCCCGCAAAGCATTGCTTCGTCCGGTGCAACTAAAGCCAAGTTTCTTCAATTGGTTGTGATCGTTCCATTTTCACATCGCCACAAAGCCTCTGAAATTTAAGGGGGAACCTATCTCGCCCCTCATGCCCTGGAGAAGAAGAAGGGAGAGATAGTTCTGATGTCACAGTCAGATGATGTTGCTGAGAATTTGTTTCAAGCTCGTTCTTTGCGGAAGGTCAAAGATGTCGGATGACTTTGCTGTGGTCCGTTCCATCATTGAGGCTTGGATTGATCTGAAGGGGCACCTGTGTGACGTGATCTTGTGCATCCTGAACATGCACGCACACTTGTGGCAGGACAAGTTGCACCAGGAGTTCTACAATGTGCCTACCAAGGCCATCGAGCCTGCTTATTGCTGCAGTGTTGGCAAAGGATCACATCTATGTTGTTTCGCGTCGTGAAAAGTTGCCATAGATGGTCCTACAGATTGTCCGTTACTTTCCATAGCAGCACAACGCTTCAACTGTCGACTAGATATTTGATGAATCAGAAGCGCAACCCGATGAAGCAAGACTCTTGCAAGGACCTGCCACCCCGCATGCAGCCGCGGCAGCTGCCAAACCTTCAGGAGACTACGGCAGCAGAACGAGATATCTCACGCGATCTCACGAGCTGCCCAAGCTCTGCATGCGAGGATGCGATGAAGATCGACTGGGATGACTGGAAGAGCTGGGCCGGAGACCGAGAGATGCCCCAGGGCCAGGGCCAGGGCATCTCCCTGGGCGACCTTCTCGGCCCAAGGAGTGGATGCAGCCTGGATGGAAGGGGGTGACGAGCCCGCAGAGCCACCGCAGAGCCACCGCAGATCTTCAAGTCGCATCTGCTTCCCTGCCAGAGGTGAAAATGCACTCCCAGTGTGTCATCAATGCCGATGGCTCCGCCGAGATCAGAAGCGCCGCGCGCCCGGTCCCAGCACGAAGATAGTTGCCTTCGACCGGCATTTCTCAGCAGCACTTTCGGTATGTTTGTAGAGGTGATGTGAATGCTGCATTTGGCAGGTGTGGAAGTGAGACGTACATAGGAGTGATGCATATCAACCAGCCGGCAGCAAAGTCGTCGCTCTGGGCAGAAGTCACATTCAGAGCACACTTCGCAGAGCATCTGTAATTGGTTCTTACTGACGCACGGCTGCCAAGACATACAGACGTGTCGAAGAGTAGTGGTGCAACTGGCACTCGAGAGGAGGAGCGTCAGCAAATAGAAAAAGAATCTTTCCTGGCTCAGCGCCGTGATCAGCAGGCTTGCCAGATTTTCCGGTCCAAGCAAGTTGAGGTATGCAGTCGGACAGTGTCAGACACACGAAGCATCTTTGAGCTTTGTGGGTGTTGTGTTCTGCCGATCAGAATCGCGAGACTCTGCGATTGCGGGGAGATTAGTGGACGGTGCTTTCCAGGAGATCGAGGAGAAAGTTGCGCTCAAGAAGATCGAGGGTGTTTTCGAACACATCACGATCGCCAAGGCTTAGCAACTGTCAGATGCATTTCGTAACTCACAGGCACTTGCGAGTACCTGCTAAGTCCAGTCCAGTCTCGGTCAGAGCTTTCATGTCGACTCGCGGCCCAGCGCACGCTCCGGGAGCTCCGGATCCTGCGACATCTACAACACGAGAACCTCATGCAGGCCAAATGCTGCCTTGGGGCTCTTGGAAATTGGTTTTTGCTTGCAGGCACTGTTGGAAAGTTGGTACTGGTACTTCTGGGTAGAAACGGGCATGTACACCGGCCAGAAACTTGTTCCAGTCGCGGTGCTCACTCGGAAAGCTGCATTTCATATGTTCATTATGCAGCGTTCTCTTTGCAAAGCCTCCACGAACACTCGGTTCCAATAGTGTTAAACTGATCGTTTTAAGGAAAAGACTTTTACAAATTGAGGGAGGGCTCTACTTGTGTAACAGGCTCTACTTGTGTAAGGGCTTCGCGGAACCAGGGAGGGAGCAAGCGAACGATTGAGTGCACAGCAGTTTTGGCCTTTTGGCCTAGCAGCGCCTAGGGGCCCGCGTTCTGCAATCTTCGGGCCATAGTGGGTCAGGAGAAGCAAAACACCGGGCTAGGAAACAAGCATGTCCAGAGCCTGCCGCGAGGGCTTGGCTGCACCAATGTCATTCTCTAAATCTCTGGAATTGGTGCAATTCTGTCTACGACTTTGTTATGCGTCTTCGGCTTTTGCTTCGTCTATTGGCCTTTGGCCTACTATCCAAGTAAAGACAGAGCATGCTTGCAACTCGCCACTCTCGCAGGTCAAGAACATTTTTATGGTGGGCTCCAGATATACCTTCCAGGAGAAGAGTGCGTGTTCGGAATTTTGACGACCACTGACATATTCAGGCCGAGCAGTCACTAAGCTTGATCTCTCAGGAGCTCTATGTCGTTTCGGAACTCATGGAGACCGACTTGGCTTCTACCTTGAGGTGTGGAGCTCATCCGGCATCCACAGCCTTACAAGCCTTTGGGCCTCTGCGCAGCCTGATCTCCCAACGTCAGCTTGGATGCCCAGGTCTTCTCAGATGTTGACAGACGATCACTGTCAGCAGGGGCCTCAACGAGCAGTCCACAGATGCATCTGGATGGCAACGAGCCTGCTGCATGTCGGCCCTGCAACCCAAGCTCGAAGGTTCTTTTTGTACCAAATCCTGCGTGGTATGAAGTACGTGCACTCGGCTCAGGTGGGCACCCGGAGTTCATTCCACCCTTGGGGTCCTATCTACGCGAGACCAGTGCTAGCTCAACTGTCCCGTCATATAATCTGGTCGAGACTAGCATGAACCCCGTTTGCATCCCGCGCAGGTCATTCACCGGGACCTGAAGCCAAGGAACCTGCTGGTGAATAGCAACTGCGACCTCAAGGACTGCCATCGACTCCCAGTGTACTCTTCTGTAGATCGACAGGTGGCTCCTGCCTCGCAGTGAAATCTTGTTCACTACATTGCCATCGTGCACTACGTGTTGCAAGCCTCCACCAGCACCGCAGCAACAGGGTGTGGCTCAGCAAAGTGCAACCCGTTTCGACTGGCGCAGATCTGCGACTTTGGCTTGGCCCGAGTGCGCTTCTCCGACAAGGAGTGGGTCTGTCCCATGACGGAGTGCGCCCCTAGGTCGCTAGGTCCTTCCGCAGTGCATTTCTCATTGAGTCAGGCGGTTGTCGGGGCTTCCAGGTACGTTTGTACGCGTTGGTATCGCGCTCCAGAGGCTCGCAGCCACATCAGCATGGCAGTCCTCAAGCCATGGGACTGACTGGCAAGGTGCTGTGCTCTTGGACAGACTACTCGTGCGAGACACTTACTTGATCCGAATATTCTTGCCATGTCTTGCTCAAAGCCAAAGACATGTCCAGCGCACGTCGAGTCCGCAGTCTGCCACGAACTTTATAGTCCGTATAGAAGCTGGTGGTGGTGACCCGGTGAGGTGCTATCGACATTTGGCAGGGAACTTGGGCCATATAGAGCAGCCAGTCGGATGGGGGACACATGATGTCGCATTGCACCCACAAGGTCGATCGGCTGCATCTTGGCGGAGATGTCGACGCGCAGGCCGCTTTTTCCAGGGCAGGGGCCCCATTCCGAAATGCCGAACACCAATCTGAAAGGATGGCAGTAGCCCCATGGTGCCGCCGAGGCAGAGTACTCAAAACCAGCTGGACATGATCATCGACCTTCTCGGCTCCCCTGATTCTCAGGCCCACTGTATCAAATGGCTTCCCTGTGCAAGTTTTCTTGGAAAAGGAGCTCATGAAGATTCCCAACGAGAAGTGCCGGAAATTTATCAAGCAGCCGTCTTGGCGTCGGAGCTGCCTTTGTCATTTTTCTTTCAGATCGCCAGCTTCCAGGTCGCTGCCGGTCCATGCGACCAAGAGCTTTCCAGAGGCAGCGAGCCGCACTCGCACCGGCTCAGCCGCTCTCCGTGCTGCCTCCATCGTCCTCGGCAGGTCTTCAAGTCAATGCCAGAACCTGCGGTAGTGGGGTCCCTGGCATTGGGCATTCTTCCCAAGCTCCTTTCTCTGAGTTCCCCGTACCCCGCTCTGCATGTGAAGGCTTCTGCTGTTACGCAGTAACACACTGCCAGCAGCTGCTAGCACCAGTGCTAGACATGCGAGCCAGTTCCGTCGCAGGACATCCTGAGGAAGATGTTGCGCTGGGACCCTTTGAGTAGACTCACCGTGGAGGAGGCCGGGGCCGGGAAAGACAGAGAGACCAGCAAAGGAAAAACAACCTGTCTCGACGCTGGCAATCATTTGCTGTGTATGTATGCTACTTGGTGTGTCCAAGCATGCGATACCCTTTTCAGATGAGGGTTGACAGTATCGGTATGCCGTAACTATGTGCAAGTCAACCCTGCGATTGACAACAATCCACGGCACTTGCCTAGTTGCAGCCGCGTGTGATGCTGGCTGAGCTATGCAAAGTCTGGGAATCATGGACCATCTACTTGATCATTGAGTCATTTGTTCGTCGCTGGTGTGCTGGCACTTGGTGTTCGCGGGGTTCGTTTCTGTAGCGTTTTTTGTCATTCCCGTAAGTCTCGAACGGCTGCACTTAGAACGTCCCACCCTGAAAGAAGCAATGGCTGGTATACCGGCATACTGATACTGTACAGGAGAACTGTGTTGGATGAAGCGCAGCATACTTGTTGGCCAAGGCTTGCAGTGGAATTGGTAATCGCTCTTGGCTTATGATATAAGATATGTCTTGGAGTGGGCACTCCGAGTATGCTCTGCATTGGCACTCCGGAACTCCGGCGGCACTTTAGGGTAGTACACTCCGGGATTGGAACTCCGATCGCGGATGGCGAGGAGAATAGTTGGCAGATTTAAAATCTAACAGCCCCACCCGACGGTGGGGGAATGACTGGCCAGTGACAGCCTAATCTCAGGAAAACCGCGTCGAAGATGCACAATCACGCGAAAAGGGACTGGCAACGTCGAGCAACAGCCTGTGGCTGAATTGCAACACGAGGTGACAGACACATGTCAGAAACGACAAACATGTTTAATTTCTTGACTGCAGAGTTGTTGCCTGCTTCACCACATCATCATCCCATGCACACGTGCCTTTTTAAGGTGGAGGTGTATCGGTGCATCGTTACTTCATAGGAAGATGGGTTGAGCTTGCTGGATCCATGTTCCACCTGCCGCAACCCCTCTTGCCATGTGAATTGAAACGGCTTGAGAATGGCTGACATGCCCCTAGAAAGGCCATCCAAAAAGACTTGTGTCCAACTCCTTTGCATTGACAACCATGCCAGTAGACCGAGTTGGCACATCTTCATGGGCTGTGACAGGCCATCTCGCATCCTTATCTGGACAAATTGCATTGCCCCGAGGAGAGATCGAAAACATGTGCGCAGCTGGAAATTTGCAGTCACGCTGCAACACAGGATGAGCCCACCAGGGAGCCCTTGGATACGACGGACTTCGAGCACCATGACTGCAAGCCTGACACGACTCGTCGAGAGAGCCCATTGCGAATATAATGGGTCCCTGAAAAAAGTTGGGGTCCACATAAGAAGCTATCTGAAGGTTCGAGAGGCGGAAGATTACGCTGCCGGCCCTTCGGGAGGCAGACTTTGGAGCGCCTGTTTGAGCAATGGCCCTCCGTCTCCGTCCTGACGCAGAGGAGATTTTTAGAGAAGCTCTGGAGCATTTCCCAGAGGTAAAGGAGCGCTTCGACCAGGCCATCCAGGGGACTAAGACCTCGCGCTTGGCTTCGCTTCTGCATCTCCTTCCATTGAGCTCCGCCTTTTAGGAGATTCGTTCCGGAAACGAGAAGCCCCACGACATCCTCCAGCCGAGACCTCGAATTTATCCGAACTGCATCTCCCTGCACCTGCTTTTCACCGCTGCTGTCCTGAGGTATCGGCTCCTACTTCCCGGGGAATCTCAGTGCGCCGTTGCAGCGTTGCAGCATGTTGCAGCCCTGCAGAGCCGTGCAGCTTCGACTTCGGTTTCGTGTCAGGGTACAGTTGCAAAGCATGGCAAGCATGACGAAGTCATCACGAAGCCGCCAACCACACTTGGCACACAGGTACTCGTCAGATGAAGAGTCCGGTGAGGACATTTGAGTGAAGTGACATGGTCCCGTGGGTAAGCAGTTTAATTCCGCTACACCCCCGCGGCACCATTCCGAACGCTGACAGTTCCATGAGTCATCAAGACCAAACCTGACAAGAAGTCATAGAAGCCTTCATACTGTAGTGTGAACCCCTGGTTTTTATCGCGTGCTTGAGCTTTTCTCCTGCAGCCTTACGGCCGAGCCGCTGGCTTGCTGGTCTCAGTCCGCGGGTTTCCGACATGTTCGTTTCTTACGAAGCCATACGTAGGCCGACTTGGGAGGCGCTGGGCTTCAACGATTGGAGTTTCACCCCGCCGGCAAGCGTGGGAATCCCGTCACCTGCGCAGCGTTGGCGCGATAAGCTTGCCGCAAACGACGCAAGTCGACGTCCATCTCGTTTGCAATGGGCTGAACGTCTGCACCTCGACATCTGCTTTCACCTTCTCCCCTCTCCTGGGTGACGGCATCACAAGCTCAGGTGAATATCCCATAATCTGGAGCCATGCAGCATCGCACATGCAGTTGAGCATCGGCACTCCAAATCAGCAAGTTTCGCCACAGCATGCCAGCTAAGCGGATTTGCTATTAACGACCGGGCTATCGCCGGGCAGTAGCAGGTTTGAGCAACCTCATGGAGCAACGACTGGCCGAGCGATTGGCCCTCCATGCATGGCTCCAGAGGCTACGTGTGACGTTGCGGTTCGCATATCTGTAACAGATGCAACACGCAACCGACCAACCTCTGGCCGATAGGCAAAACTCGCAGAGGAGAGAGTAGAACTCCGGAAGATCCCATTTGGTCCCAGTTAAGCTTCAGCAAGAAAAGCGTTGCAAGGTGAGTGGAGAGGATGTCGCAGAAGGTGAGGGCGACGATGCAGGGATCCCACTGCTTGCAAGGGAACCGTGGTGGTGTGAGAGTGCGCCGTTCAGGCGCATCCACTCTTTTTTTGTTTGGTGTTTCTTCTGATGGATTACTAAGCAGCTAAGGTGAGCAAAGCCCTCCATCAAGCAACCTCTTTGACAGAACCAGAACCGTCAAAGGCTGAGCTTCTTTGCGAGCATGCTGAATATACCCTGATTGCCTGTCCAGATGGGGCTCACATAAATGACAATGGGCGAGGGGGGGTGACAAGTTGGTTCCATATGCGGCCTCTGCAAAGGACATCTCCGGAGGTCGAGGCTGGATGTGATGAGTGGCAGTCAAGTAAGAAGTCAAGCAGCTCAACTGCTGAACGCGAGTGCCTGTTGATCCGCTGTCTGCTACTGCTGGCAGACGGTTTCTGGTTCGCTCATCTGTTCTCACTGGAAACACGAGGCCATTCCCCAATAGCTGAAGAGAATCTGCAATCTACGGCATCTTAAATCTTTCTGGTTCCCTTGAGGCCAAGCGAGTTTGCGTAGCTTGACGGCGAACGCCTCTTACTTTTCCATGCTCTCTGCTCGTTTTTTTCTCCGAGAGGTGCGGCTTCAGCTGCTTTGGGCTCTTTGCCAGGCCCGGTGTCACTCAGGGGTCTGTCGGTGTTGCGCGTCTTCGTGAAGCCAAGCACGCCCTCGATGGACACATTTCGAACTCAGTGTTTTTCAGGCTCAAAACGGGCTATGCCAAGATCAAGACTTACTGCACCAGGCTGCTCTCCTGCTCTGAGCAGCTCTCTGCAGAGTCGCTGAGTCCCAGGCCGCCACGGTCCAGGAAGAGGTCTCCCGACAATGCTGCATGCTTAGCAGCTGCTCAGCGAACTCGCCTGCCAGAACCGGAGCCCGCTGAGGCGAGCTCCTTCGACAGGAGCTGCTGCATGTGGAGGCGCGATCCGCTACGCTTTCACCAGCATGCCTTTGCTGCTGCCTTTACGTCCACGCATCGGAGAGGCCGAGCTGCAAGCAGTTCGACATCCCACCGGACCACCTTCGCCAAGGCTCTTTACTTGCCCACGCTCCTGGGCTCCCAGCTCCTAGCTTCCACTCGTAGGTCCCGGGAGGACGACAGTGAGGACGCTGGACCACCACAGCCATGTTGTCTGAATCCTCACCCACGTCCGTGCTGAACTGCGAGGATGATCCCGAGCTGCGCCAAGCTCGGCAAGACCACGACGAGTTGGAGAGGGCACTCCACCAGGCACCCGGCCCTACAGCGTCCAGCGCAAGTCTGAGCACCGAGCTCAAGAGGCGGAGCTCCGCCTCCGCGAGGCCCGGGCATGAAGTGGCGTGGCAAGGCCTTGAGTCGCAACGTGCCGCAACAAATGCCGCAAACATGCCAGGTGCAGATGCAACCGGAGCAGGACGGCGATTCAGCCGAAGCTTGACGACACATCAGCTTGCTGCAGTAATTTTGGCGTCTGCATTGCGCACACAACCAACCCATCACTCGTCCTTGTGACAGTGGCATGTCAGCGAACGACGAGGGAACTGCTAAACTGACCGGCGTGACACAAAAAACGATTGGACCGCAGAAGTTCAACAGTGGAGTGCAGCGTTATGCGGTGCGTTGACATCATTTTTTCAGAAAGACAGACAAGCTTCTGGTTTCAGCTACGACCCTCAGTCCCCGTAGCCAAGGACCATCCAGAGGACACCGGCTTCACTGCCCCTGAGCAAGAGAATGCTGAGGTGGGCCAGCATGGAACCCCGCCCCCCGGCTCTCTCTCTGTGTGTCTCTCTCGCTCTCCCTCTCTGTTTGTATCGGTGCATCTCTGAGATGAGCTCGACTAGTGTTGATTGCTTGATAAAGTTTGCTGGAGTGGCACTGGGCTGGGGTACGGCAGTAGACATCCCACAAGTGTCATAGACACGCCGGAGAGCCGTCAGCTTGGTCTGTAGGATCTGTGATGCACCGATTGCAAGCTTGCTGAGTTTTGAAAGCAGCAGCAACGAAACCAGCGTGTCGAGTAGCTTGCGGTCGTTCTGAGGCGATTGTTGCTGAGATTCGATCTCGTCGGCGTTCAGAACAAGATGCGGCAGAGGCACCTCGGGGATTGCCCGTCATCTTGCCAGCGGGTTTCCATGCAGAAGCGACTGAAATTTGCCTTTCAGGTTCGCAGGACAGGTACAAGTGGCTTGAACTTAGAGGAGGGCGTAGCAGCGTAGCGAGGTCAAAACACGGGCCACTCAAACGAAACAGGCTGCGCGCAGGATAGGACAGAACCTCCCCCCGAACTTGGGATTCTTCCTGCTAATTCTGGCGCTCTGCGGGATGCGGAGGCCCAGCGGCTTCGACATGACGAGCTGCTGCAGAAGCTCCAGCTCCTGGAGGTGCCGCCGGTGCCCGACATGCCCGACGTAAAGTTTTGGCCCTGCGGCGGAGTCCTTTCCGAATTGCCGTCGGTTCAGGCTGCCTTCTGGAATCTCGTGGTTTTCTGGAAGTTCGCTCACTGCACTTGGTACGCAGTGCCGTTTCTTGGGACATTCCAGGCCAGGGGTCGCGACGATCGCTGGGCCTTGCGAGAAGAGTTGACAGAGGCCTGGCCAGGCAATTAGGCTGAACAACAGTGTTCTCGAAGGCATTGTGCAAAGCAGGGTTTGCTGTATGTTTGTTTCTGAGAGTCGTGCGAATGTGTGTAGGGTCACGGCCTGCCGGATGCTGCAAGTGCATGCACTGTTGCATCTGCATGACTTGGACAACAGCCAGGGCTCGTGGATCAAATGTAGGATCGACAAGCCCGTATCTTCGCTGGTCGGCGGCAAGGGTTCGGGCACCATCTAACGACAAGGTTCACTTTTGCCAACGGCCCCTTCGTTCGCCACTTGTAGCTTAGCTCTCGAGAAGAACCCTGTGTGAGTGTGGTTGCGAAGGCTTGTTAAACGATAGGACAAATCAGTGTATCTGCTCTCTAGTCCTGGAATCTTGCGGAGATCACCCGGGCTCCTTGTGTGCTGCGCCCGAGTCTCCCTTGCGTGAGGCGTGTGTTCATGCAGAAGTGCTGCACTCGGAGATCAGCGCCGAAAGGAAAGCTCGCGAAGCCACGCTGGAGCGCCCGGGGGGCCCAGAGAGCTGGTGCGGCGCGGTTTTCTTTGGACTAGAGACAGCGCAGCGCCGAAGCGCCGCTCTCAGAGCTGCTGAGGTCTGCGGGAGGAGGAGGTGTACCTCGTCGGCCAGGTGGCCAATCTCGGCAGTGCAAGTTTCGCGTGTGTTCGATCGATTCCTTGATCACGTGATCTCAGCCTTGCAAGCCCGGAGCATTCTCAAGTCGCTTTAAGCCAGAAGGCAACATCTACGCTGGCGGGAAAATCCTGCGTTGGCCATAATCAGGTGAGCGAAGTCCAGGAAGAGGCCGACCATGTCTCGAGGAGCAGTTGATCAGATTTACAATCTAGGTTTGCAGTGGATTCTAGATTCCAGGTTGACAGTGGAGATGAGAAATCGGCCTATACTTAAACATGCAGAGTACGGAGGAGCTCTTATTGGTCGGTGCACAGTGAGTCGATCTGCTCCGATTGGTCCGAGGCGGGCGGGGTCGGTACAAGCTCGGGTTGAAGACGGTGTCGGCATTTTGATACATGGCCTGACATGGCCTATGAGGTCGGAGACTTCCAAGAAGGTGAACCATGGCCTCACTGCATGCGCAAACCTCCAGGTGGCGCGTGCCCGGGCGGCCCTCGAGCCCTTTGACATCAGCACACCTCGCGGTCAGGCAGAGCTCCTCAGGGCAGAGCAGAACTCAGAACATTTCCGAAAAATCCTGAAGTCCACAGCGAAGCCCTTTATCGAAATAAGAAGTCTTTATGTAAAGCGTCATGCAGCCGGATATGGGTCGTGGGTGATATGACATGAAACAGCGCGCTCCTCATTTCAATTCCTCGTGGTTTAAATTAATCGTCGAACTTTGCGTAAGTGGGAAGCTCTAAACTACTTCATGTCGCAAGGGTAAGTTCCGTAGCATCCAGCAGTGTTCCGACTTGGTTGCTTCTTGTTGTGATGTGCGTTGCGGTCGTACCTGTACTTTTCGGGGGGGCTAAGCGGGGCAAGACGATTCCGGCTCCTTGCCCGACTACCATTCCTTTGAGTCCATGGTTCAGCTGTCGATGATAAGCTCCCAAGCACTTCGGGTCGAGACTATGTGTTGTATGCTATGCCATATAAGTATGCTGGGTGAAGCAGGCCTTCCCAGGGTCGATTCTCGAGTGGTCGGTGCTGAGCATGTTCTCCTCTTTGTCAGAGCTCAGGCCTCTTTGACTCCCTCCTCGACGCAGTCGGAGTCACCAGGTGGGCTGGGGCTTGTAAGAAGCTTCCATGCCTTTAATACGCGTCTCAGCTCGGCCAGGGCGTGCCTCTTTGCTTTCAGAACTCCGGGGAAGTCGACGAGAGCCCTCTGCCTGGTCTTATGCGGATGTTTTGCAGTTCGATGCCACATGCGAACGGTTCTGGTAAATTGGTGTGTGCAGGCGAACTCGGGCTTCGCTGGCAGGATACCGTCGGTGCCTTGAAATTGTTTGTTGTCCTTCCACCCACGTGTGTACATTACGAATCAAGCCTGAGCCATGAAGGAGCACCGGTTGTCTTTGACCACTTCCACTCTGTTTCGTCGTAAGAGAACCAGCCTAGCCGAGGTCCGCTGCAGCAGGGCGAGGCCTCGGCGGATCCAGGCCTTTCTGCCTGCCTTGTTTGGGGCGTGCTACTAATTCCTTCGTTTTGAGGGAGACAGCGTGCCTGCTGCCAACGGCAGGCAATCCAGAGCAAGTCTCAACTGCACCCGGCCAAAGCGACTTGGCAACACCTCTCGAAGTCTCGAAATCTTACATGGCCAGAAGCTCCATGACAGATTCCATGCGGCCTGCTCGCAGACATGTCCCATGCACAGCACACGACTTGTGTGCCAATATCATGTGTCATCTACTAACCAAATCTACTGACACAAAACCTTCGAATGCCGTGAGTGTGTATGGCAACTCGGATTGAGGCTAAAGTCAATGCTATATTCACCGAAAGCCCAAATTCTTCGCACCCGCATCTTGATCTGAGATGGGATTTGAGGTGTTGAGTTCTCAGAAACAGATCGGCGTTGCTTGCTGTGGTGATTGAACCTTCATGTCACAATGTAATCATGTATTGCGTCATATTCTGCTGTTTGATGTGGTGCCGATTCTTCTCGGGACGTTTGGCCAGCATGCCTCTTCTTGCAGTCACCCATCGTCTGTGCGCAATGTTGTTCTTCCGACGAACGACTGAACTCCATGTCAATGCACCTAGGTCATACCAAGATCACAGGTCGGACTTGTCTTGTAACGATTTTCAACGATTGAGCACAGTGGTACAACGTTATGCAACGTTGTACAACACTCGATTCTTCGTTTCGCCCCAGCTGATGCTTCAAGCGCTACTCCTCTGGTGTGATCCTAGGCAAGGCCCGACCTCGTGGAGAGCCGCGCCCTGAGAAAGAATTCCGGCACCAGGATCGCAGTGTGACCGGGAAGGGTAAGCGCCCTTGCGACGGTGATCGATGGCCTGTTGTTCAGGCGCCGTCGCTCATCCTTGGCTGCCTTTCGCTCTGTCAACCGATTGGGCCAAGCGAAGGCAGTTGGCCGTAGCAGCATGCAAGGCGCTTGCAGTGTTTGCTTTGGGTTGAGGTGTTGGCCAAACCGGCAGTGTTTCTGGAGTGCAGAGTGTATATCAGCTGCATGTGATTATAATTCCCACAGGCCGGCAATCTCCAAGCCTCTGCGGCCCCAGGCGACCAGAACATGCGATAACTGTAACCTGCAAATGTTCTGAAATTAATAATGCATCTCTTTGATCCGTTTGTTCTCGAACGTGGGCATGGGCCAACGATTCCATGGCAAGCACAAGCTTGGAGGCTCAGCGCAGCGTCTCAGCGTAATTGGGGAGGAGGCCACAACGGATCGTTGGTGCCGTGGCATGATGCTTCCGCGCTGTACAAGCTCGCTCGTGTGCTACGTGTGCTAATGCCAGACTCAGACGAAGACACTGGGCAGGAGATTTGTGCTACAGCCGCACGCAAAGAGCTGTCCGGGCCTTGTTACTTCGAGTCGTATGCCAGACAGCGCACGCCAGCGTGTTTGTGCGCCGGATCGCAGCTCGGCCTGAGGCACGGGACTTTGCAAGAGACTCCACCTGAGCCTGGAAAACAGAGGGAGACCTCCGTCCTGAAGGCAGCGGCATTGGCGGTGTGCTCTGCAGCTGCGATTCTCATACCCTTGGAGGAAAGCCGTTCCCCAAGCCTTGCCCAAAGCAGAGGCGCAGTCTCCGTGAGTTCGATGATCGAGCAGCGAATTTTAAGTCACCACTGCTCTTCTCTTTTGAAGGTTCTGAGGATGTGACTGCTGCGAGGCCCGGCCCGAGCTGCGGTGCAACATGCGCACTTTCTCTAAGAGTTTCTTCGCTGCCTCTTCTTTTGCCTGAGTTGTCGCGGAGTCTTGGAATGGACGCTCTGTCCTAGCCCCAGCCTGCACGATGGCCTCCGGTCTTGAGTTGCAGTGCCGGGATCCTGCTGCCTACGCCCTACGCTTGCGTGGGCCAAGGCCAGCAAGACGGTGTCGCGGCTCGATCGGCCGAGCGGTCGTCTCCACAGTGGGCTGGCGATGGCCTCATCTCGGCCTTCCCTCCTATACAATGATCGGAGAATCTTCGTAGAATTCCAAAAATCTCGAAGGCCCAAGTCTTTTCCAAGTGGAACAGCTAGCCACTGGTCGAAAGGTACGTGTCTTGGCATCTGCTGATGTGTACAGCATAGACATGTCAAGAAATGAACTCGCCTCCACTCACCAGGTGTTTCGTCTCTCGCAGCGGCTCGAAGCCTAGACTAGCAAGCTTGACATGCCTTCGACCGGTCCTGGCATGTCAACGACGGGGCACCGCAGCAGTGCGAGGCAACCAAGCCCAGCTAAGGCTTGCCAGTCCAGTTTCAGAGGCCTGCTTGAGGGGGTCTTGTCGGGGAGTTTGCAACCGCGGCTGAAACCAGCAGCACGCAGCACGCGGACAGGAGCTCTCCATCCCGCTGCTGGCGATTGCAGCCGTTCGCGAAGACAAGGAGGCTGTGCAGAGCGTCGAGGGACTCCTGGCCGGAACGTCTGGAGCAGGATCCTCTTGGACTTGTTTTCGTGGTGCGGTACAAGGCCCAGTCCGAACTTATGAAGCCCCAGCCTGCCAGCTTGCAGCTCTACGCTCACAGTGCCGATTGAATCTCTGTCAGGCAGTTGGCGAGCGAGTTCAGGTTCACTTTCGAGCTACGCCGCTCAGAGGGCGCTGCAGCTCTTAACCGGGTGGTTGGTTGTGTGCCACCGTGCGTAGAATCAGCATGTTCCAAGTGGGTAGTTGTCAAAGTTATGGTCCCCTTTGGGGTACCCTAAATAATAGGTGCCGTATTATAATAAGGACCCAAAAAGGGACCATAATTTTGACAACCACCCAAGTGTCTAACAGCATGCGAAAGAACTCCAGCTTGAAGTCAGCTTGGAAGTAGAAGTAGAAGGTTGTTCCCGCTAGGCTGCGACGAAAGAAAGCCGTTCCTCCTGGGTCTCCTCGCTTTGCCAGGCCTGGCCTGGAAACTTCGACTGTTTCTTGCGAGATGCAGTATATGAAGTGTGGATGTTGCTTTGAACGGCAGTCGTCAATTCAAGCTTCGGGAGGCCATTCATGATGCTCGCACATGCGCAAGGCCATCGAAAGTCGTGGAAGCCAAGGTCAGGTACCGATGCGCCAATGCGCTTTCGAGTCCTGGGTGGGTGTTTGGTCCACATGCTGACACGATTTTCTATCGTCCTCTTCGATACTCCAACTGCGGACGAAGAGGAGCAGTGGAGGATGGTTTGCTTCTGGCCCGGGGGGTCCTCTAGATGTCACTTCTGTTGCAAAGGATGAAGTCATGCCGACAGTCGGGCATTTCATTGGCCCATCCTTTTAGCTACCACTACAGAGGTTCAGCATGCCTTGCTGCACCCTGCAAGGTGAGTGAGTAGGCGCAAAGCGCTCCGCCCGCGTAGCGGCGACTTCCAAGAAGAGTCTTTGCAAGTAATGTTGCCTCGGCTCCAGTGCTCATTTTGGGAATGGGGTTTCGCGGGTGGCTCGCCTCCGAAACGGTGGGAATCCTCAGCTTCAACCTAAACACTCAGCGACGCGACAGAGGCGCTTGCAGTCCCGGTTCATTGCGCATACAGCCTTCGTGTTACTCTCGAGCCCCGTGTTGCTTGTACCCGCGTACTAGTCAGAGCCAGGCTGCTGAGTATAACGCTTTAAGGATCTTAATGGCTACGAACTTGCAACCTGGTGTGGAAGTTTTAAGATGAGAAGTGCCCATGTAAGAAACCGAGACAACATGAAATGAATTGGCCACATCAGTGGCTCTACCGGTCAGCAAAACTTTAGACCAATGTAGTAGGCGTAGTAAATGCATGCAGACGCTGGGTGTGAGGACGGGTGATTATTGACGATACAGTATTTGGTATGACAGCACGTCCGTACATCCTCCATACTGCCGATGCACTCTCCAAGGCAAATTGCCTCTGGTGCGCGCGATGTTAATGAATGTTAATGACTTCTGTACACTCTCTGCCGCCGTAGTGGTAAAAAGCTTGGGAGAAGCCGAAGCTTGCCTGTGCTAGTCAGGTTGAGGGCTTCTCGTGCAGTGTCGTGAACCCATTGAATTGTCGCCAGCATGTTCTGCATTGAAGCATGGATGACCGACGACATCATTGTGACAATCATACATGTGCAGGATTGTGCAGGTGTTCAGGCATTCAACTTACTTTACTCCTGGTGGCAGCACGGGCTGCAGGGCTTAAACTAAAGACTGTCAGCAGCGTGAGGCAGATGCTTTCCGACCGGGAGCGGCAAGTGTGTGGTGTTGGGAGAGTGCATGCTGCAGCTGCCGCCGAGTTGGAGCCTGTGCTTCACGAAGCGTGTGCATCAAATCTTGTAGCAGAGATCTATATCCTGCCGGATCGGAATCGGCTGATTCCACAAAGTGGCGTTGCAGTTGCCAGAAGTTTGTTCAGTGCAGCATTGGCTCGTTTGTCGCTCCGGAGGGCAAGCTTGCAGACCAGCCATGCTTTCTGCCATTGCACTTCTATTGGCCAGCGGACTGACTCAGGCAAGGGTATCCAGCAAAGCTGTCGACTCGTTCATTGCAGCCGTGGTAGTCGCAGCTGCATAGCCTGCATAGCCTCACACAGAAGTCAGCCGGGAAAGAGCACATCGACACACTGCTCTTGCAGATTCCTGCAGGTTGCAACAGAGGACAGTTGCACTTCCAAAGGCCAGGTCTAGAGTGCCTGCACTGAAACACAAGTACTGGTAGCACCTCGAATCACTTGTATGTCAAGAAAGCAGGTCAGGATCGTCCCTGGCTGCTGCTGCAGCACCGAGCCAGGTGTCGACTGCGATGCTTGCTTTCTTCTTCAGGCCCCATTTCAGCACCGTAAAGAGTGTAGAGACCGCCAGGGTCGGGAAGCAACCTGCCCTTCAAGCAGCTGAGAATTGGTACTACAAGGCTGCATGCTCGTTTGAGTGGATTCTAAAATCATAGACCTTCGTGGATGCGGCGTTTTCTATTCATCGATGCATTGTGTGGCAGGCGGAGGATTTCGGCGAACCCAAAGTCGGTGCATGGGGAGGCGCTGCGTCCCCAGCACATGCCGTGGCCTCCCTTCCGTCGGCCGAGGTTCCTGCCGATGCCCAAATGGCGAGGTCTATCAGGCACGATGGCCGTTTGCTGTAGCACGAGCGCATGGCACATGCTTTTCATGGCGCGCTGAGCTAAATGAGTGAATCCGCTGTCTTCGTCCTGCCACAGACAGTAGGCCATTGACTGATCTCATCTGACCTCGTTTGTAAAGCCAAGTCTTGACACCGCAAGCCGCTCGTCACAAAGGTGGGGGACAACTTTGACGGCTGTGAAAGCTTGGCATGTCACTTGGATTGAAAGTCAGTACGGAGAAAGTCTGCCGACCTCCAACAGGAACAAACCCTAAACGGCTCTCTTATCCAGCTGCTTGCCAGCTTTCCTCGCGAGGTGTCGGTGGTGAGGAGGGGGAGTGTGAAGATGTGGACAGAGAGGAACGCAGGCGGCCGGTGTAAATCACTCGTGCCTACAGTGTTCCAAAAGTCACGTCGTACTTGCTACCCAGCTAGATCGAAAGTGCTTGCAGTTGTTCCGCAGAGTCGATCATCCGTGCACTGCAAGCTTCCTGGCAGGGGCATGAAAGTGCGATGCGATACTCCACCGCCACCGCCACCTTCGACCCCTCCCCCAGGTCAGCACAGCCGAGAGGCCAGCAGTCCAGGGGCAGTGGCATGCAGTGGCTGCCCGTCATCGCTCCCCTTGTGCCCGAGGCCACGCGATTCTTGTCCTGGAACGTCTACTATGCTCCATGGACCAATGGACCCAAAAAAGGACTCTTCGTGGCACTGCCCTGCTGAGGCCAACGATCTGCTTGGCCGTGCAGGTGAGGTTGCAGAGGCCATCCTCGAGGTCGACCCAGAGATCGTCTCCCTGCAGGACCCCCGCCAGCGGCAGCGGCAGATACAAGAAGCGGAAGGAAGCCGAGAAAGAGAGAGCTCGGTTCAAGTCTTGCAGGAGCTGTGGAACGAATGGGATGAAATCCTGGCAGAACTGAACCAGAGATCCTCTGGAGAAATTTGGGAGTTCGCGCGGGGAGGCGGTGCTGCACTCTGTCTGTCGGATATGAATGAAACCTGCACAGTGACACGAGCCATTGCCATGCAACAGGTGACACGGCGACTCGACCGCACCTACCTCCGCGAGCGCATTACCTTGCATCCCTTGGATTGTTTCCACATTGGGCGATTGCTTGGAGAGTATGCGCGAGTAAGGAGTCCAAGTGGGACGGAGACATTGTTTTTCGGCCCCTAGACTGATAAAGAGCGACCCGGATTCTTCACATTTCTTGAGCACAGGTGTTTCTTCCATGGTCGAGTGTTCTTTTGTGCATGACGTGTGATTTCGATGGTCCTCCTGACTCATGCCTACATGGAACGCGAGGCGCGACTTGTGGATGCTTGAAGACAGTGGCATGCATGCCTTCGAGGACACGCTTTGTCGAAATCCACAGCCCAGCACTGACCCTGATCGCTTCAAACCCTGATCGCTTCAATGCCCCGCTGCCTACCGCCCGAAGCCCACTTCTTTTGACAAGCTTCCCCGAGGACCGTGGAATCAGCTGGGCAGTACTCCACCGACGGCGTGATAAAACCGGCGTGCCCTGCCAGCCAAGAACCGAAGCTTCAATTTCCCTTGGAGTGACGAGCTGCAGGACTGTTGATGTCGTCAACCCAGGTGGTTGTCCTTGGAACCCATCCCTGGTGCTGTACCAACGACGAGCCCATTCTTCGAACCGTGCAGAATGATATTTTGGAGGCCGTTCCAGAGCTCTCCCTTCGACGCATCATGTCCAGTCAGGCCCACTCGGTTTTGGGCCTTCGGGATGTCAGGTGATCCAAGAGCAGAGGGCTCGATACCCGCAGTACCCTGTGGCAGTTCTGGGAGACATGCCGCTCAGACGCCAACCATCGGAAAGGGTACAACTCCTTCGACCCATTTCCTGAAATGCCGCAACTCAGGAATGCAAATTTCTTCGCCGGATCTCAGTTCCTGATGCGCGAGGGCACACGCAGGGCTCGTGGTCGTGATTGGAGCATCCTGCCGCATCATGCCGGCATGAAGCGATGCAAAGACCAACAAACCAACACGAGCATGGCCAATGTCGTTTTGTGATTGGAGTCTTGCATTGCACGCTCCCCCAAGAGACCCAGGACCTCTCTGCTGCAGTTTACAGGTACACATTCAAGGACTCCTACAACATCAACGACAACGATCCGGATGCATCGACTGGCTTCGGGGTGAAGATCGACTTTGTGTCCCAGCTTCAAAGAGCAGCGGCGAACTCCTCCAAGGATCTTACCGCTCTCGATCGCAAGGTTCTGTAGGAGAGAGCCAGATCGGCTAATGGCGAGATGGGACACGCCTGCCTTGTGGCCTGGGAAGGATGCTACTTTGTTGTAACATGTGCTCAGGTCTATTTTGAGAAGACGCCGCTGCCCATGGGACAGGTGGTCGACTCAAAGATCTGGCGAGGCGCTGGGGGCAAAATAACTCGACGTCCGCAGCGAGGAGGGCTTCGCTAGGTGCAGCAAAACTTGACGGTCAGTGTGTCAGGCTGTGACAAAGCTGGCAGCGACCACTGTGCTGTCTCTGGCGACATCATACTGACTCCAAGAGGAGCCACGGGGGATATCGGAACCCAGCTCATGTCTTAGCAGATCTTGGATTATACTCAATTTGTGTTCATCGCCACTGTTGCAGCCGTGGCAGGAACAACCGGTGTGCCTTCGACTACAACAGCTGGAGGTCCAACCTCCCAAACCTCCACGACGACTACGACGACCCGCTTGTCCACTCAGCTGTCCTGCGCAGACTTCGGGACGTGGCCGGACATCGACGAAGTCACCTGCGGCCTTCCGACAGCATTTGGATTTTTCGGTCTTGGCAACGCCCATACGAGACTCAATCATCTACTGAAAACATCAGTTGGGAAATCGGGGTATAGACACTTCGCTAACGTTGATCCCGTCTTGTAAATCTTCATCATGAAGGTTCGTTCCATCTGTCGAAAAGTAGTTACTAAGCGAGTAGTTGCTCGGGCGCCTCGCAAAACCCAAATTTCACCGTGATGGATGCTCTGGCTCGCACAGGCGCCACCCCCCCTTCCAAAATGCGAAAATGTAGTTCCTTCCTGGTATTCTTCTGTGCGGTTTCCATGACGCTGGAATGCCAGCGTTGAGGGAAGCAACAATCCTTTTTGGTAGTTCACGGCTGGACAGAGGGAAGATGAATCCATGACCTGGACTTCTGCACTTAACTTCTAAAGCCTTAAGAAGAGCCGTCTGCGGCTGTACATTTAGTTTAGATACCTCCTTGAGTCGCGATACTATTGCTTCTGGCTTCGTGTCCTTTCCGCCGATTTAGTTGGGCGACTGAAGGCAACTGCACGGCCCTGGTCCTCGCCGATCCATACGGCGGCCGTTGCCAGACCTTCTGCAGCTCCTTTGGTCATGTCTGCGTGGCAGCCGCCGAGGAAGTGAGCGAGGGATGTGAGGCACCGCATGAAACCTTTCATTGTTGGGGCAACGGCGGTGGACGGGGTGCGGTGAGCGCGTGGATCCACAGAGCGCAGCTGCCCTGCAGGTGCAGGAGCAAAAGAGCTGCGACGAACAAATCTCTGGGACCTCCGACATGCTGTGCACCTGCGTGCTCCCGACTGAGCCAGGCCTTTCCCGATGTATTGGAGCCACGCAGATCCGCACGCAAGAAGTGCTGACATGTTGTCTCTCAGCTTGGCGCTCACTTGGTGGACCCTCGAATCGTGTGTGCAGAGGGGCGAACTCGAAGGACTCCGCAGTTCCGGCCCGAAATCTCTGGAGACTTTTTGCGTTTAGCGTGCGTCCGGAGGACAACTCCGCCAAATACTACCAAGTTGTCAGTGCCGACACTTTGGAGGAGCTCCAACTGTGAAAGAGCGTCGATTTGTATCAATGAGCACACCCCAGCAATGATAGACATGCAACGTGTGATGTAAAGAGTAGATAGTTTGTCGCAGTAGGTGGTGCTCAGGCTCCTACAAAGAGTCTACCAAATCTAGTGTAGGCGATCATGTTCAAGCCGTTATAGCTTTCGTCGAAGACTTTCGCCTGCCAGGATTGTCAAAGTCTGTGCTCCTTTACTGCGGGCTGCAAGGGCGTGGAGTACTCGGCCCGCGGCAAGCGCTGCGAGGTCTGGACGAGGCTCCCTGAGTGGCCGGGAAACAGCCAGTGCATGTGTCATACTTCTGAGGCCGGAGGGCATCGGTGCAACCGCCGCTTCAACTGGCTTCGTGTGCCTGGAGAAGGTGCATGTAAACACGCATTCAGTATCAATCAAGGTGAAGGGTTGATCAGGGCTGTTGTCCGCGTCTTGGAGGCTGCAGCGGATGCCAAGCCGTTGCCTCTCAGTTTCAGGAGCCTGAGTAGCACATCAGCCTCATTCGCAGAACACCTGCAACCTGCGGCCTGCTAGAAGCCCCGAAGTACCTAACAAGGCCTGTGGACGGTGGAGAAGGTCGTGCATGCCGTGGTGCAGATGGTCGGAACCAGCCAGAATTCTACCGTTCCTTGACGAACAGGTACTGATTTTGTTTTTAGGCCGGTGCGAGTCACGGACGGGAATGCTGCAAACTGTGGTTTGAGTGCTCAGTGGACCTCAAGGCGTTCGCAAAGCATCGACGCTGGAGCTCTGCCAAGGAACGGGCGACGTGCAGCGTGTGCGAACACATGCAAGTGCAAACAGCTTGCCTCTGAAGTGCTTATGTTTCTGGCGTGCAGGCCTATGTGCACTCACGGAAGATTGCATGGGAATAGAGTGGTCAGGGCCTCGTCCATTACCTTCCATTGTTCGGAATACACGTGCTTGTTTGTGCTTGTGTGGGAAACAGTGTTTGCAAATACTCACATCTCTTCGGATGAGTCTTTGCGGGGCTACCTCGGCGGCAGTCACACTGACGCACTGCTCATCTTCGGTCTTTGGGACATCGCATGGAGATCTTTCCTCATGGTTGGGGCGGGAATTCACTGGCGAAACTCCGGAAGGATGGGTCAGCGGAAGAATCCACAGAGGGGTCACGTTGCCCCCATGCCCTTGATCCAAAGCTTTGCCACAACCGCTCCTTCCTTCCGGCAACAGAGCTGCACGATGCATGGCTGCAACCAATCATTGAGTTCGTGAGCGTGAGATTCGAAAAGGAGGGTTGAGGTGGTATCGGAGAGCGGCGGGGCGGGGGTCATTTTGGTATGACCAGCCAGGTGTCTGAGGTGAGTGGCGCAAGTGGTGCAAGTGGTAACCACAGGTGGTGCATGCCCCTGGCTGGCAAGATGACCAAACTGTTCCCTGCTGCCAAAATGACAGAAATGCCCTGGTCATTTTGCTCCCCGCGCGGACCCGAACCAAAATGACTGGTCAGTTTGCACGGGCCGGCCAGACCAGAAGGACAAAAGTCGACCGGTAATTTTGCCGACCCTGCGGATCTGTCTGCACTCATGCGGCACTACTACCACGTATTCCTAGTGTTTTCCTTTTCCTCGTATTTTGGGAATTATTGCTGTCGCAGGTATATGGATATGATTAAATAAATAAATAAATCTATATATATATATATATATTCACATACATATATATATATATATATAGATCTTGTATGACACAGGGGCCCTCGGATGTCCAGCTTCGCCTTGCGGTGGATTGCTTCGCATTGCCAGGAGCCTCAATCGCTGCGAGCTTTGGTCGTCACGGTATCTGGGCTGCCATAGACCAATGGACCAGTACATGACAGCTGTTCCAGAGGTAGTTGGAATCCGTGATGAGGCAGCCATGCCCTTCTGAAGCATGAGATGTCCAAGGATTGAAGCTTCACAGCCTGTGCGTGGCTTTCAATGTCACAGTGCTGCTGGTCGCATCATGACGGCGTGAAGGCCATGGTTTGTGGGAGCGAAGTGAGAGAGACTGAGTGCAGCTGGGAGTTCTTCCATTCTCAAAGGTTATGTGTTAAGTTAAGGCTCGTATTCAAGTGATCTGCGGTACGCCGCTGAGTCATCCACCGTGAGACAGATCAATAGTCATTGTTTTTGTACCAAGATGTTCTGGAAACCTCATGTCCGCATGCGATTCGGTATGACTCCATAGCATCCGAAGCAGGTTGTGCAGAACGTCGAGATAGCCGAACTTAGAGGACATCGGGCGACGCAGGGCTTCTTCTTGGAGTCCTTGTCTAAGTAGGTTTGGGGAGTCAAGCAGGACAGCACCAGCGGCGCATGAGAGCACCTTTTGTTCGGTCATTGCTACTTAAAGAGTCTGCATCCGCTGGTTGCCGCGAACAGCGCGCGCTGAGACTCCCATTCAATATGCATGTTCTGTACAGTTACAGGAGTCCGGCTTCCTTTTGTTGTTGCTGCATGGCAATGGACAGCTTCATCCAAAGGCAATCCAAGGTGCGCTTGCCAGGACTGAAGCTGCCCACTGTCAGCAGAGACGATTTTCGCAGGCCGGGAATTTACTGCACCTGCATCTGTACAGATGAATCACTGCCGAGCGCGCTGCTTGGCATTTGAGCTAGAGTGGATTCTCAGGAGGCTCTAGTTGGCCACGCCAAGACTCGAGAGCGAAGACGGCATAGCCTGCTGTCGAAGCATGTGGAGCAAAGACACCCAGCCGCATGCCGCATGGCTGCCATCGCTTGCATGGTCCATCGTGGTCGCAGAAGCGTATCAGCATCGGCTGGTGGAGCAACGTCCCTTCGCACTTTCGGCTCTCGGTCGCGCTGCGCAACCGCTGGAAAGGTGAACTTTGGCCAGTCTCTTTCAGGCGCCCCGTTGGCGTCTCATGACCAGGGACCTTGTCTCGGCTTGTTTCCAGCTGTACAAGGAGCCAAACGTCCTCATGGCCTCTCAGAAACCTCGACCTTCCGCTGCAGGCGCGGACTCTCTGCTGCTTCCTTTGCTGAGTCTTCGCCTTGAGACTGCACCGGACCTGCAATTGACATGCGCTCATAAAATGCGAGATACGGGCAGCCCGGTCGTGGATATGTCCATGGATGAAGCACCGACGAGGAGCGACGGGATTTCGAAGCTCAGTAGGCGGTCATGTCATTTCATGTTTGCCGCTTCCAGCAATCGAAGGCGGAAGCCCTCCACCCCGCTCCCAGATCCCACTTTTCTGAAGTTTTCAGTCCGGGCAGCCAGGCTTGGTTCACGGAATTCTGTGTCGGCAGCAGACCCGACATCCCAGATGAATGAGGTGATGTGTGCCCCTTCTAGACTCGACCCGGTAAAGCTACTTACTAGTAAGTAGCAGGTGCTCCAATTTCCATGGCTTAGCGGCTCGTGTCTCGCGTTTGCTGATTGCACAGGCCTCCCTCGCCGAACGATGAAGAAGCCACGACCGTCGGCGACTTCGCTTGCCAAATCGGATGCTTGGACATGAATTGATTCCGATCCTCTCGCCTCCTGCTTGGAACTACCTGCATGTCAGAATATTCAGAGTCCTTCGATCGGGCCTGGACGGAAGCCGGCTCAAGTCGTTTGTGTGGGAGAGCCTGTTTGTTGCGCAATGTCTGCGCTTGCTGGCCTGGGTGGCCTGGATGCGTTGCCACGAATGCGGATACTGGGAGCTAGCTTATTTTGCTGGTCATCAATTTGTGTCACCAGCCTTGTTTGCTACATGACGTTCCCGGACAGGTCTGTGCTTCCAAACTTGCTTCTGGCAATGGCCGTCGGGTCAATCACCCTGGGGGCTATCATCCGCGTGTTCCTCAGCGACAGATGGCAGCGTGCTTCGGAGCACGTGCAGGAACACATTTGGGCCTCCGTGCGTGTCGGCCGGATAGAGGAGGGTGCCCAGCCCAAGTTCCATCGTATTGAGATGCGGACGACACAAACAGCAAAAGGGGCCAAGTCAGTCACCTCGGTTCTAGAGGAAATCGATGTCTTGTGGCAGTCGCCTGGCAAGCAGCAGACTTGTGTCTGCTGTTTGGAGGATTACAAATCTGAAGACCTCGTGACGTTGCTACCGTGTGGACATTTCTTTCATGAGAGCTGTCATGCTGATTGGCTAAATTTGAAGAGATCTGCCAATGCATGTCCAATCTGCCGTGACAGTTGGGCGAATGTGTGACTGCGGCCACTGCGACGGGCTCTCTGACTCTTTGACATGCCACTCAAAAGAGGGCTACGACTTCGAGTTGCCGCACGCCCTGGCAGAGGGCACGTTGCCTAGCAGAGATATTGCATTAGCGCATACCTGAGCATGCCCGACTAGGGGGGGTTTGAACCCTGATCGGAATGCATCCTGCCTGGCGATTGAGCTGCCAAGCCATGCTCCTTACATGGAGCCTGCACATAGTTTTAGTCTGAAGTTAACATTAGCCAAATTCCACTTATGGCGCATCCCATACCCGTTCCCGAAGCAGGTGAAAAAGGTCGAGAGCCGCCTCAGTCTGTTGCTGACCCCCCTCCGCCTTCATTTCGCTTGGCTTTGAGCTGGTGGCATTCGAAGGAGCGCTTCCACCGTGCTCCACGCAGCTTACTCTCCGAGAGGTCGCAAAGCTCTTCCTGTCCACAGGCATTGCAACTGCACATCCTTGCTCTGTCCCACCTCTACCTTGAAAATACACAGGTCAAGCTGCTGGCTGCGTGGTCAACGAGCATCTTGGATGAGATCGGCCTCGAACCTGCAGTAGCTTGGAGTCGTGTAGGCCGCGATATGCTCAAGCTGAAGCTGGACGTCTGTCACTCATTCTGAAGCTAGTCCAGGTCCAGGTCTTTAGTTTGCCAACTGCCTGCATCTTTGTGTTCAGCCTGCATACGACCAAGATTGAGCGAACCAGTGGGCGTCATCACGGAAGATGATATTTTACAGAGCAGCACGGCAGCATGGTACAGCGCGAAGTTTCGGACATTTGAACCTATAGGCATAACAGCCCCGCATTTTGAAACAGGTTCGTTGCATTAGCCGTTTTTGATCTACATCTGTGTTGAGGGTCGAGTATTTGGACTCCGCCCTACTCGAGGTTTCTACTCAATCTCAATAATATGTCTTCTTTTGCGCGATGCAGCGCTTTCTTGGGTGTTGAGGGGAAACAGCCAGCTATTGTGGGAACCTCTGGCCGCTTCATGTCCTCGAAGGTTATGTTCAAGGTGCTCCCTGGACAACGACAGTCGGACAATGGATGCGAGGAGGCCATGGTCCTCGGAACGTCTTCGATGCATTGTAAGAGCTTCCTGATCGGGCATGCCATGGCATGCCTGTTGCGTCTGCTTCTTGCTTGTGATATGGGCTCCACAAGTCAGGGGTGGTGTCCAGGGAAGAGATCTCAACAGTCGTACGCAGTTCCATAGGTTTCTGAGAATTGACAGGAACATGCCTTGTTCACAGTTCTTGTGTACGACAGTGGGGAAGCGCTTGGCAGGAGGCGGTGTGGCCTTTGATGCACCGGGTCTCGAGAAGACCCGCAGTGAACAGTGCCCTGGCCTCCAACAGATTTGCAACGCCAGCTCGAGCGTTTCAGCCCCAGCAATCCGGCACTGCACTGGACGTGTATAGTTTCCGGATTCCTTCAAGTGTGTAAGCAGGACTCTCGGTAGGTTCCGTGCTTGGGGCCAGAGCGCCAAAGTCTCCGAGCCAAGCCTTTGCGAAAACCACAGTCAGAGCGCCGTCGAACCAAATGGATGGGCCTCTCTCCTCGTCATCCTCGTAATTAAGTATGAGGCGATGCAGTTTTTCCCAGCAGTTCTCTATAGTCCTGTGGCAAAATGCGGCTCTTCAAACTCCAATAGCATCCAGGCCCCTTCGCGAAGCCTTGCCTTCACTGCGCCCTGCGCCTTCTCGGCACGCGCCGCGGCCGTGCCTCGCATGAGCAAACATCTTGATATGGCAGGCGGCATCGCATCTAACAGGAGACAGGGAGAAACCGATGGGGAGAGAGAGAGAGAGCAGGAGAACAATCCATATCTTTACCGACTTGCTGTGCCCCAACAGAGCCCCAAGATGGGGTGCGCCATTCGGTGCGGGGAGCCTGGACAGCTCCCTACGCCCCAAAGTGTGCAGTACGTGTAACAGTGTTGAGCAGGTCGTTTGAGCTTTGTGTTTTCG